CCCTGTCTCTCCATGGGCTCCCCTACTGGGAATTGTTGTAGGAGGGCGTGTGACTGACCTGGAGGTCCTTTCTTAGCAGCACACTCGTCGCACTGCCTGCAAAAGTCCTCCACATCCCTCCTGTGCCTGGCCCAATAGAAGCCTTTACGTACGCGCTTTAACGTTTTGGAGACCCCAAAATGCCCTGCGCCTACTCCCCCGTGAAGCTGCTGTATCACGCTCCCTTGCAGCCTTTTGGGAACCACTACCTGCCACGTAATTTCTCCAGTAGCTGGCTTTTTCCACCCCCTCTGGAGCACTCCCTCAGCCACTCTAAGGACTGAGAATTTAGCCCACAGTCCTTTGGTGACTGGTGATAGAGAGGCTACTTCCCCCCACGGCGGTCGTCTTCTCTCTTCCACCCACCCCAGCACAGGACGCAGCTCTGCGTCCTCCTCCTGGCGACGCCTCCACTCCCCGACGTCCACAGCCTCAAGCTCCCGGCACTCTGTCACCCTCAGCTGACTCACCGTGGCGGTGACTCCCTCCTCCATGCACAGTTCCCTCTCTCGCTCCACCCGTTTGGCGCAGTACCCACAGCCGTCCTCAGCACACGGGCGGCGGGACAAGGCGTCTGCATTGCTGTGGCGAAGGCCGGCCCTGTGCTCCACCTGGAAGTCATAGGGTTGCAGCTCCTCCAACCAGCGGGCGATCTGACCCTCTGGCTCCTTGAAGGAGAGAAGCCACTGCAGGGTGGAGTGATCCGTCCGCACCACAAACGGCAGGCCCCCCAGGTAGTACTTGAAATGGCGTACTGCTGCCACGACAGCCAAAAGCTCCCTCCTTGTCACGCAGTAGCGTTTTTCAGCCTTATCAAAAGTTCTGCTGTAATAAGCTACTACGTGCTCCCCGTCAGAACCACGCTGAGCCAGCACAGCCCCCAAGCCCTCATTGCTTGCGTCGGTGTCCAGGATAAACGGACGGTTCGGGTCTGGTGAGGACAGGACAGGGGCCTCCACCAGGGCACGTTTGAGGGCCTCAAACGCCCGCTGGTGCTCTTCGGTCCACTGAAAAACAGTGTCCTTCTTGAGAAGGTGGTTCAAAGGAGCTGCTATCCCCGCAAACCCTTTCACAAACCTACGATAGTAGGATGCCAGACCCAGGAAGCTCTTAACCTCTTTTTTTCCCCTTGGAACTGGCCACCCCCTCACAGCCTCCACTTTGTCTGGCATCGTGCTGATGCCCTCCCACCCAGCTGATGACCCAGGAACGCCACCTCCCTTTGCATGAAATGGCACTTTTCCGGGTGTAATTTTAGCCCCGCCCCCGAGATCCTCTCCAGCACTCGCCTAAGTGCCCCCAGTGCCCCCTCAAACGATGTGCCGTGCACCAATATGTCGTCTAGGTACACGACACACTCGTCTCTCGGAACCCCCGCCAGCACTCTGTCCATGAGCCTCTCAAAGGTGGCAGGAACATTACAAAGCCCGAAGCACAGCACCTTGAACTGCCAATGGCCCCTATCTGTGGAGAAGGCAGTTTTTCACGTGCCCCAGGCGAGAGGGGCACCTGCCAGTAGCCACTGCGCAGATCAAGGGAAGAGAACCACGAGGACCCTCTGACGTGGTCTAGCGACTCATCGATCCTCGGTATGGGGTAAGAGTCTTTAGTGGTGACAGAATTTAGGCCCCTGTAGTCCGCACAAAACCTAAGTTTACCCCCTTTCTTAGGCACCATGACGACCGGCGCGGACCATGGGCTATCTGATGGCTCAATGAAATCAGCCCGCAACATGTCAGCAATAGCTGTGGCTGCTGCTTCCCTCTTGGCAAGGGGAATGCGACGGGGCCGAATTTTAATGGGTTGGTTGTCCCCAGTGTCGATGTTGTGCTGAACCAGGTGCGTTTGCCCTACCTCATCTTCCCCCCAAGCGAAGCTATCTTTAAAGTCAAACAGCAGCTGCTTTAACTGTCTCTGTTGTCTCTCATCCAGACCTTGACAGTTTTTCAGCCACACAGCCTCAACGGCGTCGATAACTTCCTCCTTCCCCCCGTCAGGCTGATGGGGTGAAGAAGCCAGTGTGTTTTGGGCTACTGGGCTGCCTGTGCTTGCACCATTATGGGGAGTGAAGGTCGTTGCCGCCGGAGACAGCTGCTGGGATGGCACAACGACCAAGGGAGCAGCCGGGACGACCAGTGGAGTTTCGGCAAGTTTGGAGGAAGATGGAGGGACATCCCTGCCCCCTGCTGGCCCTCCCGAAGGCGACATTCCCACTGTGGGCCCCCCCGACAGCCTCAAAGTGCCCGAAGCTAAGTCCAACTGAGCCCCACAGTTTTTCAAAAAGTCCATTCCCAGTATACAGGGGTCCTGTACCGCTGCTACCCACACCGGACACCCCACAGTTCTCTCCCCCACAGTCACAGACAACCGACACTTCCCTAACATGGGGGCTAGCTCCCCCGTGACAGTCCGTAGCTGGACAAGGGTTGGCTCCACCCGCACCCCAAAAGGTAGTATGTCTGGTCTCACCAGGGTTACTGTAGAGACCGTGTCGACCAGGGCCAAACATTCCACCCCCTCTACCTTGACGATGACATTGCAGAAGTCCCCAATGGTGGTATGTCCCACCACAACTACCGGACTAGGAAACACGGTGGCAGCTACACCCTGGGGAAGCAGGTCCCCACCCTCTTGCCTGCGCTGCTGGGTACCTCTTCTGCTTACTGTGGGTTCGGGGGGCGGAGGGGTGGGCCCGCGCTGCCCCCTGCGCGAGAACCCGCTGTCGTTTCCCTGGTGACGTGAGAATCTGCCACACTCCCACTGAATGTGGCCAGGCTGGCCACAACCCCAGCAGACAATGGGAGTTGAGCTGACACTGCGATGTTGTCTGGAACCCCTCTCAATGACAAGCGAAGCGCTCTTGACTAACCCGCCCAACTCGTCGACCCACTCTGGTTTGGTGACCCCCGGCACCCCGGCCGCCGCTGCTCTCACCTCTGGTTGACTGGCAACCTCTACTCTCACTCCCTCACCCCAGATCAGCTCCCTCTTCCTGGCTATCTCCACTGCAGCCCGCAGAGATGCTGGGTCCGACATCTGAACATGCTTACCCAGTTCGGTGGGGGAGAGCGCTCTAATAAAACTGTCCCGTGCCAGCTCGTCTTGCACCCCAATCGGCATAGTTGCATAAGCCCGCCTGGTCAGGGTCAGAATACCACTTGCCAACGCCTTTAATGATACCCCCTGAAGTCTCTTTTTGTTACTCAGTTCAATCCGCAGCATGTTGGGCTGTGCATCGCTGCCGAAACGGCCCCCCAATGCCTCCACTAGCGCACCGTAGTCGCCCCTCTCGTCCGGGGCTAGCGTTAGCAGGCATTCCGATGCCTCCTCTGCCAGGCTCAGGGCAAGCTGTAACCCTTTCGTCTCGTCAGACCACCTCCCGGCTCTAGCCAACAACTCGAATTGAGTGAATAAAACTTCCCATTTACCTTGTCCATTGAACTTTGGAAGTTTAGCCGCTACCGTGGCTAATGGCAATAGGGCGCTGCCATCTCTGTTTACATAAGGAGGCCCAGCCATTTCCGCACGCGGTGACGTCGATATCTCCGTCGCCGTGACGTCTGTTCTGGTCGAGCGGTTTGAAGGAAAACCCGCCCGTTCTGCCATCTTGCTGACAATTTAACTTCCGCCATGTGGCTCTCCAGCTCTTCTACAGCCGTCGTCGCCTGACCCACCCGACCGGGTACACCCGAGCCCACAACGGACACTTTGTCCGACTCTTCCTTAATTTTCCGCCTCGCCCCGATCATCATGACGGTAGATGCGAGTCACGCTAAAGCTAACCACGGCCTATACTGAAACAGCTAACTCGCCTAATCTCGATCTATCCCGTCGTTCGAAAGCACTTCTGACACCAATGTAATGACCCAGCTGGGTCATAAAGTAAAAGAGAGACAGGCACCAGGTGTACAGGCAGAACACAGGTTTATTCCTGAATAGGCTATTGTTCAGGCCACAGCCCACGCCGCTAAACCTCGAACATACACAAATATAATATGTCAAGTCAAGGGTCCCGAACAGAAGAGAGAGAGATGAGACCGTAACCCCTATTTAAGCATTCCAAAACCCCGCGGGATTACCCATCATACCCCCCCCAACCTTTCCATCTGTTCTGGCATATTTAACCCCTGCTAGCACCCATGAGAACGATAACACACCCACGAACACAGAACACAATACCGGGTCGTTACAATACTATCGGACAGCAGGAGTTCGAATTTGAATATTGAAACAATGTTACAAATGGCGGAGAGACAGACAGCAAGGTTTATACAAATCTCCGCTGTTTAAAACTAAATGTTAGTCTAAAAGAAACGTGAGATAATGTCTAGATGCTTTTTATAAAGTGCCTGACTGGGTTGATGAGACAGTGGATTGCGCAGTCAGATGGAACAGTGTAAATAGGCATTTTAATGCCATAGATTTAGCGGTTGACAATTTGTGGAATAGACACCGGCTGGAATGCGGTTTTAACCAATCAGCATTCAGGATTAGACCCACCCGCTAAATCTAAAACGCTCTATCCAGGCACTCTGCGTCGTGTTTAAGAAGCCCTTTAGCCGTGGTATATTGGCCATATACCACACCCCCTCAGGCCTAGTTGCTTAATTAAGTATTTAGTTGTTGTAGTGGGGACAGTAACATTAGTAATCTTTAAAAATTATACTTTAACAAAAATGTTTTTACATATTTGTAAAAATTGTATTTGTATGTTTAGCTCACATAATATAATTTAAAAGTATACATTTAGGTGTGTTAAATAGAATAAATGTGGCAAAAACGAATGTAAACATTAATAAATGCGTTTCTAGAGCTTTTTTTTTTTTACAGTGGTGGGGGAGTGCCAAAACGGAGGCAAGGTGGTTCAACACAAATCGTCAATCAAATATTTAGCCACGCCCCTTTCAACGCAACGGTAGGGTATTAAGGCAAGGGCAGTTTGTTAGTAACATCTGGGTTTACTGGTACTAGAAGGTGCTTTCAAACAAGAAGGTGCTTTCAAGTAGATGAAATACCATTGTTATTGTCAATTCTATTTGGATTATTATTGTTTTGTAGCACTTGCACTGCTATCATCTGGAATCCATAGCCCTTAGCTATCAATCTACCTGGTTTGGAGGGCTGTGAGAGAATATGCATCTGGTCTTCAGCGTACTGTGTTTCTCTCTGCTCACAATGGGCTGTCTGAGTAGCACTGGTGAGATAGCGATAGGCTGTGAGCAATGGAGAACATCTGCTGGTTCTCCGAATGTCTGCTGTGAAAGCTGCCGTCCAGGTAAGTTTCTAAACTATGCTACTGTATATGGTTTAACTTTAACTGTACTCGATAAATAATCAAGAATTAATGTAATATGGCTTGGATTTTGACAAGTAAATTCTAGTCTTTATCTGGTTAAATGATGGGCTCTATTCAATCTGTAAAATTGAAGCGTTACAGATTCTGCGATAGAAATGTAAAGTACATTTCCGACTGACCCTACATATGCACGGTTAACCGGAACATTGCCTTTAAATTTCAATCACGCTGTACAAATGAATTTCTGGGAGGCATATTGAATAGAGCCCGTGTCTTTCATGGGGATGAATAATCTAGTGTATCCCAGGTTGTGAATTAAATATTATTTCCTCTTTAGTGGTTATACCACAGTGACCCAGTTCATTTTCAGTGGTTTCTATTAGTACCACAATAAAGGGGGATGGATGGATAATGATCAACCTAATGATCAACCAGAGATCAGATCAAGGATAAACTCAGCTCTATGTGGGAGGGGACTGGAAATAGTTTCCTATCAAAAGCATTTACCTTATATATTCATGTCCACTGCAATTGCTACTGATGGAGAGAAAGTGATGTTAATCACCTGACTGAGTTATTATGGATGCAGATGTGCTTTCAATACAGTATGTTCAATGTTGTCTGTCTGTGTGTGTATTTGTGTAGGGAACCGTCTGGTGACTCGCTGTGGTCCAGACCCGAAAAAGCTGTGTGTTCCCTGTAAGAATGAGACCTACACAACTGACACAACATCAAGCTCCTGTCGCAGGTGTACTCAGTGCGTAGGTATGTCACCAGGATATTGAAACTTTAAACATTATTTATTAACCCCTGCACTGAAATGTCTATTGTTCGATAAGTTAAACGTTTAACAATTATTCATTTTACTCCACTTTCGTGTGTGTGTAGGCGGGGCCCAGATCTTTAAGAAGGCCTGTACAAGAAGCAAGGACACAGAGTGTGACTGTAGGGCAGGGCTCCGATGTGGTGATGGCCTCTGCTCCTTCTGTGTCGAGGAGTGTGGAAAGGGCCAGGAACCTCTTCCCACTGCACGTAAGACACACATAACTGTACCTGCAAACACTAAAGTCATACAAGTTATCTGGCATGCCTAATAAGACGCACAAGCTCAGGACACTTGGGAAATGTTCACCAAGTCTCAAACCTCTGCATGTCTGTCTTCATAGGGTCCTGCCAGAATTGTCCAGTTGGGACCTTCAGTGACCAAATCCACGAGAAGTGCAAGCCTTGGAGAACAAGGTTTGATTGAATTTCCCCCTAAACTCTGAGTTTGATTCAATATTGGAATTACATGTAGTACTAATGCCATTGCATTAATCTGCCAACAAATTATTACCGTATGCAGCAAATCTCGGAAACCCAGAACTAAAATCCTGCGCCATGGCTACTCAATGTAATCTGATATTGGAGAGAGCCAATCCTGAATCTTTATTTCTCCATCTCTGTCCCAGCTGTCCCCATCCCCATGAACACATTGTGGCCTTGGGAGATGCAGTTAGTGACAGCAAGTGCGGCATTACCAACAATTCAATGCCCCAAGTGATTACCTTACCTACGAAACGGAGGGACCTTGAAGGTAAGACCTGTGAATCTAACACCATGGCAAAATTGATGTTGTAAAATCACCTTGTTTGAAAGAAAGATGACAACCTCTCTTTCTCCCAGATGGCACAGGGCTGGTTTGGGCTATAACGGCCTCGTGTGGGGTCTTTATCATCCTCATCTTGTTTCTGGTCATCATCATCATCAACAACAAAAAGAAACCAGAGAAGAAGACAACCCCTAATGAGCCAACCCTTATTGTGCCAACACCTCCTACAGGTAATCATGTTCCTCCTCATTATCAGGGGACAACTCATCCATACCCATCATACTGTATCAATATTCTGTCAGCTTTCAAACTGTAGTCCTGAAATGTGGCAACAGCTTTGAGTTTATATTTGAATCTGAGGTTGAGCCAATCTTCTCTCTCCCTGCTCCTCCCTCTCTCCCCTATATCTCCACTCTATCTCTCCATCTCAGATGAGCCGAGAACCCTGATGGAGGTCAGTTTCCACCACCCTCAGCAGGAACAGGGCAGCAGTTCTGAAACACTGCACTCCCAGGACTCTGAGACCAAGCTACTGCCTGTGTGATTGGGAGTGGCAGGGTTATACTGGGTCTGATCTACAGGCCACTACCTCACTGGCACTCTGATGCCTTCCCAGTGATTGGCCAACACATCATTCTGATACTGTTAGACTTGCTCTGATTGATCATGCCACACGCTGGCACTAAGGAATTGAGAGGTTCAGATACTTTTGAGCATTTGTGATCTCTTTAATACCCCAGTATTTGTTTGTATCTTACACACACATTCAAAGATGTGAATATTGAGAGAGATCTCTATGTAACAACTTTTTGTGAAAGTATACCATTTATGTCAGCCAGTAAACTGATATTCAAATGTCAGTAGTGGTGGGGAAGTTTTCAGGGGGAAGAACATTGTCATTATATGACCTATTCATTAGTTGACTCCCTAGCAGTTACTGTATCATGTGGCTGCTGCTGGATTAGTTCAACTATTTACATACTTGTACATTTCCTGGTTTTATTCGTTTTAGTTGCCTGTTAATATATCTAAACGTGATGAAATACTACACTTGACATTTGTGTGAGCGAGGGAGGGAGCAGAGTCATGCCCTGTTTTAGTGTAATACAGTGAATATGGGGTTGCAGCAGCAGCAGTGTAAACCACAGACAGCTAGATGTGACTGCCCACATGCCTCCCACTGGCTTATATCATATTCACGTCTTTCCTGTAAGGCTAAACTCAGCTGCCCACAGTTACTGAGCAGAAGTAAATACCCCTATTTAACATTACTGTAACCCAAAATGTGACATTTAATTGCACAAGAGATGAATTACAGCAAGGACATAAGGTATTTTTCTCAGCACTTTGTTAGGAATTAGATTCATGATAAGAATGTGCCAATGTGATACAGTATGGGACTTGGAGCAGCTTTTCCGTGGGAAAGTACTGCTTGTATTGAATGGGATAAGAGTGAAGGACATGTGTGGGAAACAATATGACGTCATATTATTCTCTATGATACACTGCCAGGAAGGGAGGAGTCTGGACTTTCCTTATAAATGTAGTAGGGAAGGGTTAAGGTCAGGGAATCCTCTCACGTGGGGGTTTCCCTGACCTTTTACCCAGAAGCTTATCGAAGGTCATGGGAACCATAAATTAACGAATACAAATGTTAATTGCACTTGACACGCAATTTATAATGTAGACAATAGGCATTGCAAGGGATTCCAAAGAGCTTTCTTTAACCTAGTTTGATCACATCAAGACCAGAGTTCACTCTTTCACCACTGTAGTTTTGCAATCATAAGCATTGTGTGTGGGTGTTTCTTTGGCTTGCTTAGACATGCATGTTAACTCAAGCCCTTTAGCCCTGATTGTAAATAATAGCTTTCACAAGGTATTGTCTCCTATGTGCTGTTCACGTCAATGGGATGACAGATCCGTGATAAAATGTCTGACACGCGAAACTTCCCCGTGGGCTCTCCGCTAGGCAGAGCTGGGAAAGCCGAGGGATTTTGATGTCATATTAATCATGTAGTACCATCACTTCTGGGAATGTACACAAGGAACGCAGAATGAGACTGGTCTGACTAAAGCTCACGGGATCATGTTGGAATGCTGAATTACTCAGTGCAGGAATCACAGAGGGAAGACTGTAAAAATAGAAAAAACATTTCGTAAGAGCACCTCATGCAGAGGATCATGTAGAAACATCGGTCAGATCTGTACTAATGTAACCTTGACTTTTCATGTGGATACAGAGGAGTAGCGTATCACTGGAGTTAGAGTAACTAAGGATGGGTGTCTGAACTATATCTGTATTTACAGTTGAAGTCGGAAGTTTACATACACTTAGGTTGGAGTCATTAAAACTTGTTTTTCAACCACTCCACACATTTCTTGTTAACATACTATAGTTTTGGCAAGTCGGTTAGGACATCTACATTGTGGATGACAAGTAATTTTTCCAACAATTGTTTACAGACAGATTATTTCACTTAATCTCTGTATCACAATTCCAGTGGGTCAGAAGTTTACATACACTAAGTTGACTGTGCCTTTAAACAGCTTGGAAAATTCCTGAAAATGATGTCATGGCTTTAGAAGCTTCTGATAGGCGAATTGACATCATTTGAGTCAATTGGAGGTGTACCTGTGGATGTGTTTCAAGGCCTACCTTCAAACTCAGTGCCTCTTTGCTTGACATCATGGGAAAATCAAAAGAAATCAGCCAAGACCTCAGAAAAATAATTGTAGACCTCCACAAGTCTGGTTCATCCTTGGGAGCAATTTCCAAATGCCTGAAGGTTTCCACGTTCATCTGTGCAAACAATAGTATGCAAGTATAAACACCATGGGACCACGCAGCCATAATACCGCTCAGGAAGGAGACTCGTTCTGTCTCCTAGAGATGAATGTACTTTGGTGTGAATAGTGCAAATCAATCCCAGAACAACAGCAAAGGACCTTGTGAAGATGCTGGAGGAAACAGATACAAAAGTATCTATATCCACAGTAAAACGAGTCCTATATCGACAAAACCTGAAAGGCCGCTCAGCCAGGAAGAAGCCACTGCTCCAAAACCGCCATAAAAAAGCCAGACTACGGTTTGCAACTCCACATGGGGACAAAGATCGTACTTTTTGGAGAAATGTCCTCTGGTCTGATGAAACAAAAATAGAACTGTTTGGCCATAATGACCATTGTTATGTTTGGAGGAAAAAGGGGGTAGCTTACAAGCCGAAGAACACCATCCCAACCGTGAAGCACAGGGGTGGCAGCATCATGCTGTGGAGGTGCTTTGCTGCAGGAGGGACTGGTGCACTTCACAAAATAGATGGCATCATGAGGAAGGAAAATGATGTGGATATATTGAAGGAACATCTCAAGACATCAGTCAGGAAGTTAAAGTATGGTCGCAAATGGGTCTTCCAAATGGACAATGACCCCAAGCGTACTTCCAAAGTTGTGGCAAAATGGCTTCAGGACAACAAAGTCAAGGTATTGGAGTGGCCATCACAAAGCCCTGACCTCAAATTTGTGGGCAGAACTGAAAAAGTGTGTGCGAGCAAGGAGGCCTACAAACCTGACTCAGTTACACCAGCTCTGTCAGGAGGAATGGGTCAAAATTCACCCAACTTGTGGAAGGCTACCCGAAACGTTTGACCCAAGTTAAACAATTTAAAGGCAATGCTACCAAATACTAATTGAGTGTATGTGATGAAAAATAAAAAGCTGAAATAAATCACTCTCCTATTATTCTGACATTTCACATTCTTAAAATAAAGTGGTGATCCTAACTGACCTAAGACAGGGAATATTTACTATGATTAAATGTCAGGAATTGTGAAAGACTGAGTTTAAATGTATTTGGCTAGGGTGTATGTAAACTTCCGACTTCAACTGTATCTAGTGTGACAGGCATAGCCCCCTGAGACGGAACATCTCACATAATTGCCTACATGGTGTAAAATGTTAACCCACACACGGGTTGGGCCTATAACAGTATTAAAGAAAATGGCACTGATTGAATAAGTGATATTGTTGATGTTTTGATATATGATTAAAGAACTAGTAAATACCACTGGGTTGTCTTTTATTGTATTCCTACCATCATAAAGATCTTGGCAGGGAATGTGCCACAATTATTGTAGCCTACATGAAGATGACTTGACGACGACCCCCAACCCCCAAAAAACTACGTAGTCATAATCAGCTAAATTTACTACAGCATATTTATCGTCAGCATACAGTGCCTTCGGAAAGTATTCAGACCCCTTGACTTTTTCCACGTTGTTACATTACAGCCTTATTCTATAATTGATTGAATATCTACACACAATACCCCAAGTGGCAAAGCAAAAACAGGTTTGACATTTTTGCTAATTTATAAAAAATCTAAACTGAAATATCACATTTACATAAGTATTCAGACCCTTTACTCAGTACTTTGTTGAAGCACCTTGGCAGCGATTACAGCATCTAGTCTTCTTGGGTATGACACTATAAGCTTGGCACACCTGTATTTAGGGAGTTTCTCCCATTCTTCTCTGCAGATCCTCTCAAGCTCTGTCAGGTTGGATGGGGAGCATTGCTGCACAGCTATTTTCAGGTCTCTCCAGAGATGTTCGATCGGGTTCAACCATCCCGGAGTATGTGGTATTAACAACTACATGTAAAATCCCATAGCGGATGCTAGCTAAATGCTAACGGCCGCATGCGAACATTTTATATGATCTTACAAACTATTTGCAGGACAGACATCCCAGCTCATAAAGTTATACAAGAAACTCAAAAATGCTACTAACATTTTTCTCTCATCTCCACAGAGGAACTCTGGAGCTCTGTCAGAGTGACCATTAGGTTCTTGGTCACCTCCCTGACCAAGGACCTTCTCCCCCGATTGCTCAGTTTGGCTGGGTGGCCAGCTCTAGGAAGAGTCTTGGTGGTTCCAAACTTCTTCCATTTAATAATGATGGAGGCCACTGTGTTCTTGGGGACCTTCAATGCTGCAGAACTGTTTTGGTACTCTTCCCCAGATCTGTGCCTCGACCCCATCCTGTCTCGGAGCACTACGGATAATTCCTTCGACTTCATGGCTTGATTTTTGTTCTGACATGCACGGTCAACTGTGGGACCTTATATAGACAGGTGTGTACCTTTCCAAATCATGTCCAATCAATTGAATTTACCACAGGTGGACTCCAATCAAGTTGTAGAAACATCTCAAGGATGATCAATAGAAACAGGATGCACCGGAGCTCAATTTAGAGTCGCATAGCAAAGGGGCTGAATGAATACTTCCGTAAATAACTTTTTTTTTTTATATACATTTGCAAAAATTTCTAAAAACCTGTTTTCACTTTGTCATTACGGAGTATTGTGTGTAGATTGCTGAGGGAAAAAAATGATGTAATCCATTTTAGAATAAGGCTGTAACTTAACAAAATGTGGGAAAAGTCAAGGGGTCTGAATACTTTCCCAAGGCACTGTAATTTTCCCTAAGAGAGAGGAAAAATACAATATTACTGCTGAGGTTTCATGGGTGTTAATTTTATTCAGTAAAACTTCAGAGAAACCTACAAGAGCACTAATACCTGTGTATATATCTCAGTGTCTCAATAGTAATATGAACATTTCTATTTAAATAGAAGAACAGAATGAAGAATGTTCATGCTCAGACATGCAAACTCAGCCAGGACAAAAAAATATTTGGACCATAATCTTAAAATAAATTGTGTCCAATGTCAAAAGTAATGTACAAGATTAAATCTAAACAAAGCAGATTGTGTTCATAAGACACTATAAACACAAAACAACTGAATCTATTAATCAATACAAAATAAATGCGATCCAGTTTGAATCAACTGTTCCATACAAAATAACTGGCAATAATATATCACAGAAAATAAGTAAACAACAATTGTATGTGTGCTTAATTTTTTAAATCATGCAATAAAGATAACAGTTCTATCAAACTACAAGCCCAGCAGTGCCTGTCTAATATGTAGTTACTGTATGATTGATGTGTAAAAAATGCAGTTTAAACAAAAGGAACGAAGATGTACAGTACGGAGCTCTGATTGTCTGTTGAATGTCTGTTGAATGCACTCGAATGACAGTTGGAGTGCTGCAAAATGATGGGAAGCAGAGAGTTGGTGGGAAAACTACATTGAGGAAGGATGAATTTTGGTAGTTGAACTTACATAACCACTCAATGTCCAATTCAGGTTACTGGGAGAAGGTTTAGTTACCTCATAGCAGCAGTATGCTCTGTTGACTGAGTTTGCAGTGACCTCTTGTCATACAGTACAGTTTAGTGTTCACAAACAGGCCTTACTGTAAACACTAAAGATGTAGCGTTAGATGTAGGACGGCTACAGTACAGCATGGGGATCAAAGGGATTAAAAATATGACTCGATATTCTACCATAGACTTACTGGGGAAATACTGTATTAGCATAAAGTGACAAGTCTAACTATTTCCCAGTATTTGGGAAACTTGTCACTTTAGCGGGGTGTGAATGACATGATAGTAATGATGTAGTATTGATAGACCTCCTAACGTATTTTTCAAACAGATATTGACAAGAGGGATTGGATGTAATCGCTGTCAGATATGGTTGAAGCCATTTGAATTGGAGTGTTAGTAAGATCTCCCATTAAAGGGATACATTGGGATTTTGGCAATGAGGCCCTTTATCTACTTCCCCAGAGTCAGATGAACTCATGGATACCATTTTTGTCTCTGCGTGCAGTTTGAAGGAAGTTGCTAAATCTATGGGTATCTGCAAGCATGACTGGATATCTACCATAGACTCTTAGTCATTGCCCTACCACTAGTTAGCATTGGCTCATGAATTTACCTTCAACTTCCTTCATAACGGACACAGAGACATAAACATGGTATCTGAGCTCATCTGACTGGGGAAGTAGATAAAGGGCCTCATTGCCAAAATCCCCAAGTATCCCTTTAATAATACTAAATAATAAAACACAAATAAAAGTAACAAACAATCAAACATATACTGATTGATATTAACCTTGTCTCATCAACACAGAAGACGAGAGATAATAATTGGCAGGTCAACTATAAATTATTCCCTTTGATAATTATATTGGGTTATATGAATCCAAATGGTTGTCTTATCTACACCAGTAATTTCAACAAATACAAAATCCCCAATTGTATTTCTTAACTGGTTAAAGTGCTAGTTGGGACAACTAAATAATAATACAAGTATCTGGAGATAGTCCTCTTGGGACCAGGTTAAGTAGTGTTAGGAGTGTGTGGGGTGTAAGTGGATATGGGGGGTGAGGTGTTGTTCCCTGTACGCTCAGGCCCAGTATATCTAACTGTGACATCACTGCTGCTTACAGTTCTCCTTCTTCTCTTTGGATTCGACGCGTCCTGATTTGGCGCTTTGCCTCTTGGTGGGCGGGATGAACGTAGGCTCCTCCATGAAGTCATGTAAGCCGGAGTGGGGGATTGGATGAGACTGACAGGAGGATGGGCCTATAAGGAAGACAAGAGAAGGTCCTATAACTGTACATAACCTCTATATGAAGCTACACATTATGGTCAGGTGTTATGTTGTTATTCCTACCAGAAATGGTCTGTCCCGCTCTGATGCTCTCCTTGCCTTGTCTCCTGTTCTTGAAAGTTGGGTCCAGGTCCTCTGCAATGTTTCTGATTGGCTGTTGTGATCTGTAAAGATATCAGTAGCAGGTTGAAATATAGAACTTCTTTCCTAGCCTAATCTATTACAACACATATGATTGCAGCCCATTCAACAGGTAGCAAATCTCTAGCAATGACTTTTTCAAAAGCCCCATACTTAAGCAGCAAATTATAATCAGTCAGGTGCTAAGGAGGGCATTTCCAGACGGGGGTTTCCCAGCATTAAACTGTACATTACATTAAAGTGGCACAGTAAGGTTGGTGGTATACGGTATCAAGGGGTATTTTGAAATACCCATGGTGTGATTTTCAATACCAACTATTTCTTGAAAGTTTTTTATTACATTTATTTGGACTTTTTAAGTAAATACCTGCAGTCAACTTGTGCACTAGGTTACGAGATAAAGCAGATCGTGTTCTTCATTTTACCTGTTACATTATTTTTCATTATGAAGTTTACCGGTAGGCCTAGTTCCCTTAAATAGCTGAGCCGGTCACGTTGTTTGTTTAGAAAAGTCCAACGACGAGAGACCGGAGACTCGTGAGTCACTCTTACTGTTATGCAGCATGCAGCGCCAGGTGATCTAGTAACACTAAACAAAATATTTGCCAGCTAGATGTGTTATAACTATTACGTTAACTATCTAAAATATGCTAAATACTCTGCAGTTCTGCATTTTGTTTGCTAACTTACTAACTAGTTATCGAAGTGGTTAGCGTCTTGCAAAATCAAACTTATCTTGGTAACTGCAGAGAATTCCATCATGGATCAAGATCCTTTCGGTCTAATATTTGTTTTGTGTGTGCAGAAAAATGTGAGTAGCATTTTTGAGTTTCTTGTATAACTTTATGAGCTGGCATGTCTGTCCTGCAAATAGTTTGAGACCATATAAAATGTTTGCATGCGCTCGTTAGCATTTAGCTAGCATCCGCTATGGGATTTTACATGTAGTTGTTAATACCGAAGAAGTCTAACTCACAGTGTTGTGGAGGTGGGGCTAGGGGGCTGATAGTCTGGACAGCAGTCCTCAGTAGGAGATGGGAGGCCCTCAGAGTCCAGTCTCTCCCGCTGAATCTGATACACAGAACACAACTACAGTTACAATTATAACAGTAATAATCATACTGAAAATATTGTTTTGAAATAAGACACTTAATTAAATGTATAGTGTGAATAGTTAATATTATATGTAGGCAATGGCTCATAAAACCAGCAGCAGCTACCGGTCTCTCTCTGACAGTTCTCCTTTCGTGGGGGTCAGCCAGGTCATGCTGTTCACGTCGTGACCCCGGGCCATTAAGGTAATGTGACTGGTGCTTCGACTGCATTTCCTGTTTCTGCATGAAGCGGGCAATTTCCTGACAGAGGACACAGTGACCATAAAAGGGTCAATACACAATAGGCATGTTGTTACGCATTGGACAGGTGGACTGTAGCTGAACCCAAGGCTTTGAGGGCCGCATTGCTGAGCATATGATTTATTTGATGAATATTGAGATTGGTTGATAAAAAGGTCACATGAACTTTGGAAGCACATCCCCTAGTTAATGAAGGTAATATACACTACCGTTCAAAAGTTTGGGGTCACTTAGATATTTCCTTGTTTTTGAAAGAGAACAAGCGCCTCACAGGTCCTCAACTGGCAGCTTCATTAAATAGTACCCGCAAAACACCAGTCTCAACGTCAACAGTGAAAAGGCAACTCCGGGATGCTAACCATCTAGGCAGAGTTGCAAAGAAAAAGCCATATCTCAGACTGCCCATCTTAATCTTTTCTTTTTATTGGCCAGTCTGAGATATGGCTTTTTCTTTGCAACTCTGCCTAGAAGGTCAGCATCGTGGAGTCTCAAACTAGACACTCTAATGTATTTGTCCTCTTGCTCAGTTGGGCACCGGGGCCTCCCACTCCTCTTTCTACCTCAACTAGCCGGTGCCCCCGCACATTGACTCTGCAACGGTACCCCCCTGTATATATAGCCTCCCTACTGTCACTTTATTTTACTTCTGCTCTTTTTTTTCTCAACACTTTTTTTGTTGTTGTTTTATTTTTACTTTTTTTTGTTTAAAATAAATGCACTGTTGGTTAAGGGCTGTAAGTAAGCATTTCACTGTAATGTCTGCACCTGTTGTATTCGGCGCATGTGACCAATAAAATTTGATTTGATTTGATTTGGTTTGCGCTGTTCTGTGAAGAGAGTAGTACAGTGTACGAGATCTTCAGTTTCTTGGCAATTTCTCGCATGGAATAGCCTTCATTTCTCAGAACAAGAATAGACTGACGAGTTTCAGAAGAAAGTTCTTTGTTTCTGGCCATTTTGATCCTGTAATCGAACCCACAATTGCTGATGCTCCAGATACTCAACTAGTCTCAAGAAGGGCAGTTTTATTGCTTCTTTAATCAGCACGACAGTTGTCAGCTGTGGTAACATAATTGCAAAAGGGTTTTCTAATGATCAATTAGCCTTTTAAAATTATAAACCTGGATTAGCAAACACAACGTGCCATTGGAACACAGGACTGATGGTTGCTGATAATGGGCCTCTGTACGCCTATGTAGATATTCCATAAAAAAATCAGCCGTTTCCAACTACAATAGCCATTTACAACATTAACAATGTCTACACTGTATTTCTGATCAATTTTATGCTATTTTAATGGACCAAAAAATTGCTTTTCTTTCGAAAACAAGGACATTTCTAAGTGACCCCAAACTTTTGAATGGTAGTGTACCTCTCCTTAAATCAGGGAGATTCAACTGGGGGTCCGCAGCCCCCAAGGTACCGCAAAATATAGAAGCAAAAAAGAATAAACAACTTTTTAATTACATACAGTAGAAAATAGTATATTATTTATAATGTCAACTTTATTTCTTAACTCCTAATATTGAGCAAAATACACTCATAAGAGCCAATTACACTCACTGGAGTATCTGACATAGGCTTTGAAAAAGCACCCGCGAATTGGCTACCAGTGCAGCAAGTGCTGCTGGCAAGTTTTATTGACTTGGACATACATTTTTGCTAACCTTTGTTTAACCAGATAAATAGCTGCTCTTAGCAAAAATGTGTTTGGAGTTACCTTTCTAGCTAATAGGCTATTTTAGAGTTTACACTTCCTCTTCCAGTTATAATGTGGGGTGGTCAAAATAATGAAACACCATCTACCAAATCTATTCATTTTAAAATGTTTATTACTTTGCCTCGCCATTATCATTCATCTGAAAAAATAAATAATTTAATAACGTATGATGGGGTCCCTGGGTTGTCGGTTTTCCTGGGAGCGGGTGCCTGGGCAAGAAAAGGTTGAAGACCCCTGCCCTAAATCATAGCCTCACTTGCAGTCAGTTCTGTTGGGAGATACTACCAAAATCATGATATTTCCTTTTACAGCTCCGTCTCTTACCTCATCCTGAGCCACTTGCGCGACTCTGAAGTCTCCCTCTGGGTAGGAGTCGTGTTGAGAGTGGGAAGAACGGGCTGGAGGGTTCTGCAATGACAACTCATTTTTTATTTTTTATTTATTTAATTTGTACATGTATTGAAAGCAGTAACTCCCCTCAATGTACTCTGAACATTTCATGACTCTAGGACCAAGAACATATTCAAAATAGCTTCTGTAGTTCATAATTGTATGTTCCTTAATGTGAAAATATGGCAGTTTTGTCCACTTCCTGAAAAGTTTCTGTTTTGAAAATTAAGAGGTTTTCATCAGACAGCGACATTAAGTTACATAGTGGGATGTGAGCTGACACAGTACAGCCAGTAGGAGGATCCTCCCTTACCCTACTCAACAGCTTCTCCTCCTCCTTCTGCAACCTCCTGGCCAGCTCCTCATCCAGCAACACCTGGTGCAGCTCCTCCAGGTCCAGACACGCCCTCTCCTCCGGCTGCAGCGCGGCTCCTGTAGGAGGAGAGACTTGGGTCAGGAAAGTTTAGAGATATAAAGGGTGTGCTGTGGTATGATTAAAGGTCTATGAAATGACAGACCTTGTGAAGATAGATATATACACTGAACAAAAATATAAACACAACATGCAACAATTTCAAAGTTTTACTAAGTTACAGTTCATATAAGGAACTCAGTCAATTGGAATCAATTCATTAGGCCCTAATCTATGGATTTCACATGACTGGGAATACAGATATGCATCTGTTGGTCACAGATACCTTAAACAAAAGGTAGGGGCATGGATCAGAAAACCAGTCAGTATCTGGTGTGACCACCATTTGCAGCGTGACACATCTCCTTCGCATAGAGTTGATCAGGTTGTTGATTGTGGCCTGTGGAATGTTGTCCCACTCCTCTTCAATGGGTGTGCGAAGTTGCTGGATATTGGCAGAAACTGGAACATGCTGTCGTACACGTCAATCCAGAGCATCCCAAACATTCTCAACGGTTGACATGTCTGGTGAGTATGCAGGCCATGGAAGAACATTTTTAGTTTTCAGGAATTGTGTACAGATCCTTGAGTCATGGGGCCGTGCATGATCATGCTGAAACATGGTAATGGCGGCGGATGAATGGCACGACAATTGGGCCTCAGGATCTCGTCACGGTATCTCTGTACATTCAAATTGCCATAGATAAAATGCAATTGTGTTCGTTGTCCCTAGCTTATGCCTGCCCATACCATAACCCCACCGCCACCATGGGGCACTCTGTTCACAATGTTGACATCAGCAAACTGCTCGCCCATACACGCTGTCTGCCATCTGCCCGGGACAGTTGAAATCGGGATTCATCCGTGAAAGGCACACTTCTCCAGCATGCCAGTGGCCATTGAAGGTGAGTATTTGCACACAGAAGTCGGTTACGACGCCAAACTGCAGTCAGGTCAAGACCCTGGTGTGGGCGACGAGTACGCATATGAGCTTCCCTGAGATGGTTTCTGACAGTTTGTGCAGAAATTATTAGGTTGTGCAAACCCACAATTGCATCAGCTGTCCGGGTGGCTGGTCTCAGACGATCCACAGGTGAAGAAGCTGGATGTGGAGGTCCTGGGCTGGCGTGGTTACACGTGGCCTGCGGTTGTGAGGACGGTTGGAAGTACTCCCAAATTCTCTAATATGACGTTAGAGGCTTCTTATGATAGAGGAATGAACATTCAATTCTCTGGCAACAGCTCTGGTGGACATTCCTGCAGTCAGCCTGCCAATTGCACGTTCCCGCAAAACTTGAGACATATGTGGCATTGTGTTGTGTGACAAAACTGCACATTTTAGAGTGGCCTTTTATTGTTCCCAGGACAAGGTGCACCTGTGTAATGATCATGCTATTTCATGCCACACCCGTCAGGTGGATGGATTATTTTGGCTAAGGAGAAATGCTCACCAACAGGGATGTAAACAAATTTGTGCACAACATTTTAGAGAAATAAGCGTATTGTGCGTATGTACAATTTCTGGGATCTTTTATTTCAGCTCATGAAACATGGGACCAACACTTTACATGTTGCGTTTATATTTTTGTTCAGTGTATTTAGAGGAAAGAAACGCATACTGCAAATCATACAGCACATGTTCTGGGAGACAGGTCAGGGGCAGCAGGGAGCCTAGCGGTTAGAGCGTTGGGCCAGGAGCCGAAAGGTTGCTGGTTCAAATACCTGTGCTGATAAGATGAAAAATCCTTGAGCAAGGCACTTAACCCGGTTTTGCTCCAGGGGCGTCTCACTACTATGGCTGACCCTTTAGAACAACATCTCACTGCACCTATCCCGTGTATATGACAAAATCTTTATTTAATAATAAAATAGGTTCATCAAGAAGAACAACAACAATCATCTCTTGGATCGTTTCAAGAGAGAGATGACAGGACATGGAGATGACAAAGATGAAGGGTGGAGAGGGGTTGAAGAATAGCAGCTAGTCTATAAATGAGGGAAATCCAGATGAAGATATTTCCCAGACCATCAGAATGAACACTACTACAGAGGAAAAATCTAATTTCTGAGAAAAAAAAATTTTTTGGAGGCCCCTCCCTTAAACACATGGAAACCAAGATGGGAGTAGATTTCTCCAGAATTGATTGAGGGAGGATGTGAAGAGGAGTAGATGTACACACAGAGGTTGTTGGGAAAGCTTTGGGTAAAGTTGAGTAGAGTAGCCGCCTCCCCTGCAGGTCTGTGTTTAGAGCGCTGAGGTTCCTGCAGCTCAGGGTGTTACCTGCTCTGGGGGTGTGCCTAGATCTGGCCCTGATGGAGGCCCCTCTGCTGCAGAAGCTTTGGCTGAGATGGTGGACTCTCCGTGGGGGTCTCTCCTCCCTCCTCTCCTCTTCCTCCTCTGAGCTGTTCTGCTCCTCCTGCTTATGCCGGCGATCACTCACACTGCTCCTCACCCTGCGCTCACTACTCACCCTGCGCTCACTACTCACCCTGCGCTCACTATGGTGGTGCCTCTCATCCCTGCCATCCCTCTCCTGGTCCCCACCTGAGCTGACCCTGTTCCTAGGGTCTCCACCACTCCTCCTCCTCCCGCTCCCCCCTCTCTCTCTGCTGAACAGCCAATCATCTCTACTGTGTCCAACATCGACCTCAGTCCCACTACCCTCCTCTATGGTCAGGTTTTCAAGGATTCTTTCTCGCTCTCCTCCATAGCCTCGTTTACTGTAGCCTTCTCTTTGTGAGGCTCTCTTTCTTTCCCCGACATCTCCATGGTAACTGCGCCTGGTGGGGACAGCTCTTTGAAAAGCCCTCTGTTGATGTTGAGAGTCACTATGGGCGACGGCATTTTCCCCATCATGTACTTGGCCGTCTCTGACCTCACCTCTGACCCCCCGTGACCTTGACCCCCCGTGGAAGCTCTGCCTCACGGCCACACCCCTCTCTCTTAAGTCATGGACAATCAGCTCCCATACATTCACCATATGCCTGCTGTCATCATGGTAACTATGACCTCGCCTGCTGGCATCATCCTGGAAGCGGACTTGTTTGTTGTCGCTGGTCTCTCTGTAGGTCCACCTCCTCCTAACTCCGTCTCTATCCTGCACCCCTCTGGCAGAGTCACTAGTACTATTGATGTAGCGCCTCTCTTTCCCCTCCTCTGATCTGTCATAACCCCGGTCATGCTTCGCCCTGAGATTCCTGTCCCAAATCCTATCCCTCTCCTCCTGAACCCCCCTATTCCTGTCCTGCCAACTCCCCCTATGCCTTTCCTCCCTCGCTCCCCTTCCCCCCTCCCACACCCTGTTGCGCTCCTCTCTGAAGCTGATGGGACTGCTGAGACTCCTCTCCGGTGGTTGGTACATGGGAGCCTGGCGACCACTAGGGGCAGTATTGAGCAATTTCTCCAGTCTACAGGGCCGGGATGGAGGGAGGTGTTCAGGGAAAACAGTGTCTGTGTCCTCTGAGCCTTCATCACTCAAATAGTCAGGTGGAGGGCATTGGAGGTAGTTTCTGATGAGTCTAGGTGGATCCGAGTATCCATTATGTGATGATTGTGTTCTGTTATTCTGTCCTGCTGTCCTGTGGGTCTCATACAGAGGCTCGGCAGTAGAGTCTGACTGTGACTGGGTGTTAGAGGTGGAACATTGCCACCTACTGGTAGCAGGCTGATGGTGCAGCCCTTCTACCTGGCTGGGGATGTTGCTGAGAGCAGGCTGGCGTGGGCATGATGAGTGTGAGGCAAGGACGCTGGCACAGTCTTTAATCAAGCCAAACATGCAAACACAAAAGCAGGTTAGTGTGGGTGAGGGTGTTAATGGTTTATATTAGACAGGCACAGTGAATGGTGCCAGGCTAACACAAGGGACCATGCTAGGTATAATGCCATTTTGTAATAATAATTTTTCATATTTGGCCCAACAGAGGCATGTCGTTAAATTATCATAGATTATTTATCTATAAGTGAACATTTAAATAAAAGCTTGACACACAAAACACAATGCATACAGTGCCATGGTCCATGTTATTAACAAGATAGCTAGAGCTAAGGGATTGCCAGAGTGATAAGGCTGCCAGGAAACCTGTGGAGTCAAGTGGATGCAGATGGGAATGTCAGCCTGAGGAGGAGGAGGACAGGCAAGTCAAGCATGCAGAGCAAAGCAGGGTTAGATTAGAGCTCAGTCTCCCCAAGCAAGCTTCAGATCTACACCTACTATGCAGGTAGCCTAGTGGTTAAGAGCGTTGGGCCAGTAACCGAAAGGTTGCTGGTTTGAATCCCCGAGCCAGCAAGGTAGAAATATCTGCCATTCTGCCCTTGAGCGAGACAGTTAACCCTCAACAACAACTGCTCCCTGGGCGCCAATGACGTGGACGTCGATTAAGGCAGCCCCCCCGCACCTCTCTGATCCAGTGGGGTTGGGTTAAATGTGGAAGACACATTTTGGTTGAACGCATTCAGTTGTGCAACTGACTAGGTATCCCCTTTCCCCACACCTACAACCCTGCCACAATGACCCAGGTGTGGCGGGCTTGATCATCATGTTTCATCATCAGACTTTAAGAGTCCAGAGTTTGAAATTAGGCACCACAAGGTTTATTTAGTTGATTTAGATTTAAAGTTCTTCAGTGCCATATTTTGTCCTTGTTATGATCATAAAATAAACAAACAGTATGCACACCAATCATGGTGAAAAGCATTGAGAAGTAACACAGAATAAATCAGGAGGACAGGTCAGAATAACAGGTACCACCCAAAGTAGGATTTAAACCACAGCAATCATTCAACCAAACTTGGTCACCATTAGACATTATTTCAGGAATAAAAGAAAGAAACCACAGATAGGAGATTATAAAAAAGGACCCTACAGCAAATGACCCTGTCAACATAGGGGCCTTTTACCCATAAAGTACACTGTTAGATTATACATGATATTAATGCCTAGGAATAATTGGAAATCTTTTCTGAGGCCCAAACAACAAAACAATGGTGACAGTATCTGTTGCTTCACTATAGAAGAAAATTAACTAAAGTGACCGTACCATCACTGAGGCTCTCCTGCCCACTGCTCCTCTGTCTGACCCTCAGCTCCTCCTCTTCCTGGATGTGTTTAGCCATTTCCTGTGGAAACAAGGTTAGGTCTATTATTGTTTCATCCGTGGAACTGGAGCTGAACAATACACTCAGTCAGCACATGTAAATAAAATCATTTAGAGATTATAGAAATGGTTGTCATCAGTATCATATAACAGAGTAATAGTGATTTAGGGTCGACTTAGAGCCCAGAACAGAGAATAAATATGTTAATTTGATGCTTCACACACTCAGTTTGTGCTCAGTTGCAGTACTGAGTCAGTCAAAATTGGCCCAAAATGTCAGGCTCCAAATGCCTGCCAAGCATATGGGTGAGGTTAACTAGGCTTGTGCCAATGTGTGGGCACACGCTGGCATCAATCACTGTGGTTTTCTATTTTTCTTCCACCCATCTACATTCAAAGAACCTTTGAAAGAGATAATTATGTACATTACATATTAGTACCACAAGGTGTCAGTATAACATGGCCCAACATGAAGAAATAAACAATTTGTAAAGACCCAAACCCAGCTACCCTAAAATAAAAAGATAGTCAAATCAACCACTAGCAATATCAATAACAGAGAATCTTCAAAGAAATAGGGTTAGGGTTCTTACTTTTTGGTCACTCACCAGTCAAAGAATGACTGGTGAGTGATACAAAGCATCAATCAATCCACAGATACATTAGGTGTATGAGCTACATGGTTAGGTGTATGAGCTACATGGTTAGGTGTATGAGCTACATGGTTAGGTGTATGAGCTACATGGTTAGGTGTATGAGCTACATGGTTAGGTGTATGAGCTACATGGTTAGGTGTATGAGCTACATGGTTAGGTGTATGAGTGACATGGTTAGGTGTATGAGCTACATGGTTAGGTGTATGAGCTACATGGTTAGGTGTATGAGCTACATGGTTAGGTGTATGAGTGACATGGCATAATACTTAGACATTATTGGCTCATTGTTCTAAATCAGAATTCAAACAGAATTCAAACAAGGATCCAGTGGTGGAAAAAGTACTCAATTGTCATACTTGAGTAGAAGTAAAGATACCTTAATAGAAAATGACTCAAGTAAAAGTCACCCAGTAGAATACTACTTGAGTAAAAGTCTAAAAGTATTAGGTTTTAAATATATGTATCAAAAGTAAATGGAATTGTTGAAATATACTTACGTATCAAAAGTAAAAAAGTCTAAATAATTTCAAATTCCTTATAGCAAACCAGATGGCACAATGTTCTTGTTTTTTATTTATTTACGGATAGCCAGGGGCACACTCCAACACTCAGACATCATTTACAAACTACGCATGTGTGTTTAGTGAGTCAGAGACAGTAGAGATGACCAGGGATGTTCTCTTGATAATTTTGTGAATTGGAAAATGTTCCTGTCAAACTGTAACAAGTACTTTTGGGTATCAGGGAAAATGTATGGAGTAAAAACTACATAATTTTCTATAGGAATGTAGTGAAGTAAAAGTTGGCAAAAGTAGAAATAGTAAAGTAAAGTACAGATACCCCAAAAAACTACTTAAGTAGTACTTTAAATAATTTTTACTTAAGTACTTTACACCACTGCAAGGATCCAATTGGTCAATCACTCAGTCAGGTGGTTTAGTGGGTTAACTCAAACAAGCAGTAAGGACAAACAAAACATCATCAACTCTTCAGAACACGACACAAATGTGTCTTTGCTTTGTTCTGTGGAAATAACAGCACTACAACTACACCTAAATAGTATTTAATGATGTGTGGAAACTTGCAACATGATAAAGACTGACAACTAGTCTCTGTCATTGTATAGACAGAGTCTGGGTGGCCTGCACTAGAAAGACAGTGGAAGTGTTTCTGAATGCAGAGCCACAGTAGGTGACTTGTCTCCATTATGAGGGAAATCTAGCAGGTCCACAGTGGCTGCTCAGCACAAAACCTGCTCCGGGTTAGCCTGGTCCCAGATCTGTTTGTGCTGTCTTACCAACTCCTATGGTCATTGTGTCGAAACGGCACAAATATATCTAGGATCAGGCTAGCTCCAGATGGCCAGGCTAGGCTGGTTATTTCAGGAAGGCCTGGGGGCTGACTCAATGGAAAATAAGAGGCCAGGCAGGCAGACCAGACCAGCAGACCAGAGACAAACAGAGAAGGCCAACCTTTCATCTCCCTGTGCCTGGCTCTGCCTGCCTGGCTGGGCGGCTGGGCTCTGGTCTGTAAAAATTGCTGAGAGAGGACTGCTTTACTTTCATTAACACCTTGTCAACTGGGCATGCCAGTGCCACCCTGCACAAGGGCTGCCTCCCTTATAACATTGACCTCCAAAGACTTGTGCTCTGCCTCCTCTGAGACAGTATTGAAGACGTGTGCGACAAATTATACGTAACGGAAATGGGGTGCATGTCCATTGATACGTGCAGGAGGAGGTCTGTGAAGGCGACAACAAACCATATCAGTATAACCTCCCTTGATGCCACTTGTAGATCAAGGTTTAGAGGGGGCGGGCCCATCGGTTCAAAAACCTCTAATGACAACAAGTGTTAAGAGAAAACCATAAGAGCCTCTTGCTTGGCTAAATCACAGTGCTTAGCCAGCTCAGCCTTGCCAGCCTCAGCAGGCAATTAGCAGCTTGACATGGCAGGTTAGCTCAGGGAGTGCCATGGGGAACTGGCATTCAGACTGACTGCACCGCCTGGTGCCTTCTGTTCTGCTGCACAATTAAACACACAGTCAGCAGGGACGCTAATATTTAATCAACACACTACATCAGCCAATGTTACATAAAAGTTAATTTGCAATGACCTTGGAAGTAGAATATTACTCTGTATTAGGCTTGGGCGGTATACAGTATATAATGTATACCGGGGTATTTGGAAATAGCCACAGGATGGTTTTTCAATACCATCAACGTTGAAACTATTTATTTGAAGTTTTTCAATACATTTTTAGCTACTTTTTAAGTTAATACCTGCAGTCAACTTGTGCAATACGTTAGGAGTTAAAGCAGATCGCATTCTTCATTTCACCTGTCAAATTATTTTACAGCCTGAATTTAAAATACACTGCTCAAAAAAATAAAGGGAACACTAAAATAACACATCCTAGATCTGAATGAATGAATCTTATTAAATACTTTTTTTCTTTACATAGTTGAATGTGCTGACAACAAAATCACACAAAAATTATCAATGGAAATCAAATGTATCAACCCATGGAGGTCTGGATTTGGAGTCACCCTCAAAATTTCAGTGGAAAACCACACTACAGGCTGATCCATCTTTGATGTAATGTCCTTAAAACAAGTCAAAATGAGGCTCAGTAGTGTGTGTGGCCTCCACGTGCCTGTATGACCTCCCTACAACGCCTGGGAATGCTCCTGATGAGGTGGCGGATGGTCTCCTGAGGGATCTCCTCCCAGACCTGGACTAAAGCATCCGCCAACTCCTGGACAGTCTGTGGTGCAACGTGGCGTTGGTGGATGGAGCGAGACATGATGTCCCAGATGTGCTCAATTGGATTCAGGTCTGGGGAACGGGCGGGCCAGTCCATAGCATCAATGCCTTCCTCTTGCAGGAACTGCTGACACACTCCAGCCACATGAGGTCTAGCATTGTCTTGCATTAAGAGGAACCCAGGGCCAACCGCACCAGCATATGGTCTCACAAGGGGTCTGAGGATCTCATCTCAGTACCTAATGGCAGTCAGGCTACCTCTGGCGAGCACTGTGCGGCCCCCCAAAGAAATGCCACCCCACACCATGACTGACCCACCGCCAAACCGGTCATGCTGGAGGATGTTGCAGGCAGCAGAACGATCTCCACGGCATCTCCAGACTCTGTCACGTCTGTCACATGTGCTCAGTGTGAACCTGCTTTCATCTGTGAAGAGCACAGGGCGCCAGTGGCGAATTTGCCAATCTTGGTGTTCTCTGGCAAATGCCAAACGTCCTGCACGGTGTTGGGCTGTAAGCACAACCCCCACCTGTGGACGTCGGGCCCTCATGGAGTCTGTTTCTGACCGTTTGAGCAGACACATGCACATTTGTGGCCTGCTGGAGGTCATTTTGCAGGGCTCTGGCAGTGCTCCTCCTTGCACAAAAGGCAGAGGTAGCAGTCCTGCTGCTGGGTTGTTTCCCTCCTACGACCTCCTCTACGTCTCCTGATGTACTGGCCTGTCTCCTGATAGTGCCTCCATGCTCTAGACACTACGCTGCAGACACAGCAAACCTTCTTGCCCCAGCTCGCATTGAGGTGCCATCCTGGATGAGCTGCACTACCTGAGCCACTTGTGTGGGTTGTAGACTCCGTCTCATGCTACCACTAGAGTGAAAGCACCGCCAGCATTCAAAAGTGACCAAAACATCAGCCAGGAAGCATAGGAACTGAGAAGTGGTCTGTGGTCACCACATGCAAAACCAGTCCTTTATTGGGGGTGTCTTGCTAATTGCCTAAAATTTCCACCTGTTGTCTATCCATTTGCACAACAGCATGTGAAATTTATTGTCAATCAGTGTTGCTTCCTAAGTGGACAGTTTGATTTCACAGAAGTGTGATTGACTTGGAGTTACATTGTGTTGTTTAAGTGTTCCCTTTATTTTTTTGAGCAGTGTAGATTAAAATGAGATTGTGTGTCAATGGCCTACACACAATACCCCATAATGTCAAAGTGGAATTATGTTTTTAGAAAAAATAAATAAATGAAAAGCTGAAATGTAAAACGTTCAAATTCATAGACAGAGCTATGGATGGACTGGCCATTCATGATATCAAAATTATATTGTTAACCATATTTTGAGGCTAGAGTATTTACATTGTTCACAAACATTGGAGTAAAAAAATCTTACATTTGGAGTTCTGATGGGGTACGACAGTTGGACTAAGCTCATGACGCATATACAGTGCCTTCAGAAAGTATAGATACCCCTTGACTTATTCCACATTTTGTTGTGTTACAGCCTGAATTCAAAATGGATTAAAATTATTTTTCTCACCCATCTACACACAACACCCCATAATGACAAAGTGAAAACATGTTTTTATAAATGTTGGCAAATTACAACTTCATTGGAGTCCACCTGTAGCCAATTCAATTGTTTGGGCATGATTTAAAACAAAACACACCCATCTATACAAGGTCCCACAGTTGACCGTGCATGTCAGTGCAGAAACTATACCATGAATTCCAAGGAACTGTCCGTAGATCCCTGAGATAGAATTGTTCAGTGGCACAGTGCCTTCAGAAAGTATTCACACCCATTGACTCTTGTTGTGTTACAGCCTGAATTTAAAATTGATTAAATTGAGTTTGTCACTGGCCTACACACAATACCCCATAATGTCAAAGTGGAATTATGTTTTTCAAAAATGTTAATTAATAAAAAATGAAAAGCTGAAATGTCTTAAGTCAATAAGTATTCAACCCCTTTGTTATGGAAAGCCTAAATAAGTTCAGGAGTAAAAATGTGCTTATCAAGTCACATAAAAAGTTGCATGGACTCACTCTTTGTGCAATAAGAGTATTTAACATTATATTTGAATGACTACCTCATCTCTGTACCCCACACATACAATTATCTGTAAGGTCCCTCAGTCGAGCATTGAATTTCAAAGACAGATTCAACAACAAAGACCAGGGAGGCTTTCCAATGCCTCAAAGAAGGGCACCTATTGGTAGATTGGTAAAAAAATAAAAAAATAAACAGACATTGAATATCACCTTGAGCATGGTGAAATTATTAAATTACACTTTGGATGGTGTATCAATACACCCAGTCACTACAAAGACACAGGCTTCCTTCCTAACTTAGTTGCCGGAGAGGAAGGAAACCACTCAGGGATTTCACCAGTTACAGAGTTTAATGGCTGTGATGGGAGAAAACTGAGGATCGATAAACATTGTAGTTACTCCACAATACTAACCTAATTGACAGAGTGAAAAAAAAGGAAGACTGTACAGAATACAAATATTCAAAAACATGCATCCTGTTTACAACAATACTGCAAAAAATGTGGCAAAGCAATTAACTTTTTGTCCTGAATACAAAGTGTTTTGTTTGGGGAAAATCCAACACAACATTACTGAGTATCCCTCCATATTTTCAAGCATAGTGGTGGCTGCATCATGTTATGGGTATGCTTGTAATCGTTAAGGACTGGGGAGTTTTTCAGGATAAAAAGAAACGGAATGGAGCTAAGCACAGGCAAAATCCCAGAAGAAAACATGGTTCAGTCTGCTTTCCACCAGACACTGGGAGATTAATTCACCTTTCAGCAGGACAATAACTTAAAACACAAGGCCAAATCTACACTGGAGTTGCTTTCCAAGAAGACAGTGAATTTCCCTGAGTGGCCGAGTTACAGTATTGACTTAAATCTACTTGAAGATCTATGTCAAGACCTGAAAATGGTTGTTTAGCAATGATCAACAACCAATTTTACAGAGCTTGAAGAATTTTGAAAATAATAAATTGTTGCACAATCCAGGTGTGGAAAGCTCTTAGAAATTTACCCAGAAAGACTCACAGCTAAAATTGCTGCCAAAGGTGCTTCTACAAAGTATTGACTCAGGTTAGTGAATATTTATGTAAATTAAGTATATTTGTATTTAATTTAATACATTTGCAAACATTTCTTAAAACGTGTTTTCACTTTGTCATTATGGGGTATTGTGTGTAGATTGGTGAAAAAGAATCATATTTAATCAATTTGGAATTCAGGCTGTAACACAAAATGTGGAATATGTCAAAGGGTATGAATACTTTCAGAGTGCATTCGGAAAGTATTCAGACCCCTTGACTTTTTCCACATTTTGTTGTGTTTTTCAAAATATATTTTTTTCTCATTCTAAAACAGATTAAAAGAAAAAATCCATCCTCAATCTACACACAATACCCCATAATGACAAAGCGAAAACAGGTTTAGAAATGTTTGCAACTTTATTAATTTTAAAAAACAGAAATACCGTATTTACATAAGTATTCAGACCCTTTGCTATGAGACTCGAAATTGAGCTCAGGTGCATCCTGTTTCCATTGATCATCCTTGAGATGTTTCTACAACTTGATTGGAGTCCACCTGTGGTAAATTCAATTGATTGGACATGATTTGGAAAGGCACACACCTGTCTATAAAAGGTCCCACTGTTGACAGTGCGTGTCAGAGCAAAAACCAATCCATGAGGTCGAAGGAATTGTCCGTAGAGCTCCGAGACAGGATTGTATCGAGGCACAGATCTGGGGAAGGGTACCAAAAAATGTCTGCAGCATTGAAGGTCCAAGAACACAGTGGCCTCCATCATTCTTAAATGGAAGATGTTTGGAACCACCAAGACTCTACCAAGAGCTGGCCGCCCGGCCAAACTGAGCAATCGGGGGAGAAGGGCCTTGGTCAGGGAGGTAACCAAGAACCCGATTGTCACTCTGACAGTGCTCCAGAGTTCCTCTGTGGAGATGTGAGAACCTTCCAGAAGGACAACCATCTCTGTAGCACTCTACCAATCAGGCCTTTATGGTAGAGTGGCCAGACGGAAGCCTGTAAAAGGCACATGACAGCCCTCTTGGAGGCACCTAAAGACTCTCAGACCATGAAAAACAAGATTCTATGGGTCTGATGAAACCAAGGTTGAACTCTTTGGCCTGAATGCCAAGCGTCACATCTGGAAGAAACCTGGCACTATCCCTACGGTGAAGCATGGTGGTGGCAGCATCATGCTCCAGAGCGCTCAGGACCTCAGACTGGGGCAAGGGTTCACCTTCCAACAGGACAACGACCCTAAGCACACAGCCAAGACTACGTAGGAGTGGCTTCAGGACAAGTCTCTGAATGTCCTTGAGTGGCCCAGCCAGAGCCTGGACTTGAACCCGATCGAACATCTCTGGAGAGACCTGAAAATAGCTGTGCAGCGACGCTCCCCATCCAACCTGACAGAGCTTGAGAGGATCTGCAGAGAAGAATGGGAGAAACTCCCCAAATACAGGTGTGCCAAGCTTGTAGCGTCATATCCAAGAAGACTCTGTAAGGCTGTAAAGTAACAAAATGTGGAATAAGTCAAGGGGTCTGAATACTTTCCGAATGCACTGTATATCTGGGGAAGGGTACAAATCAATTTCTAGAGTGTTGAAAGTTTCCAAGAGCAGAGTGGTCTCCGTCATTGGGAAAAATATGGAACTACCCAGACTCCGCACTTCACCAATCTGGGCTTTATGGGAGTGTGGCCAGACGGAAGTCACTCCTAAGAAAAAGGCACATGACAGCATGCCTGGGGTTTGCAAAAAGGCACGTGAAAGACTCCGAGCATTAGGCAAAAGATTCTGTGGTCTGATGAGACAAATTAAACTATTTGGCCTGAATGCAAAGCGCTATCTCTGGAGAAAACCAGGCACAGCTCATCACCCGTATAACACCATCTCTACCGTGAAGCATGTTGGTGGCAGCATCATGCTACAGGGATGCTTTTCAGCAGCAGGGACTGGGTGACTGACTGGTCAGGATAGAGGGAACAATGAATGGAGCCAAATACAGGCAAATCCTTAATGAGTACCTGCTTCAGAGTGCAAACGACCTTAGTCTGGGGGCAAAGATTTACATTCCAACAGGACAATGACCCAAAGCACACAGCCAAAGCAATGCTGGGATGGCATCGGAACAAGAATGTCAAAGTACTTGAGTGGCCCAGCCAAAGCCCAGACTTGAATCCGATTGAAAATCTGTGGAAAGACTTAGAAGATTGCTTTTCACCGCCGCTCTCCATCTAACTTAACAGAGCTTGAGAAAATCTGCAAGGAAGAATGGGAGAAAACCCTAAAATCCAGATTTTCAAAGCTGATACAGAAATACCCAAGACGACTCAAAGCTATAGTCGCCGCCAAATGTGCTTCTACAAAGTATTGACTCAGGGGTGTGAATACTTACGTAAATGAATATTTGCGTATTTCATTTTCAATAAATTTGCTAACATTTCTTAAAATGTGTTTTCACTTTGTCATTATGGGGTATTGTGTGTAGATTGGTGAGAAAAAACTATTTGATCCATTTTGAATTCAGACTGTAACACCAAATTGTGGAATAAGTCAAGGGGTATGAATACTTTCTGAAGGCACTGTATAAAAGTTATATTCTTCAAGAATCTGGTATTTATAATTAATTTATAAGTCCAAATATTGATGTAGCAACAAAAGATTCTAGCTTTAAACAGTCCTATACTGACGCACTGAGTGCTTCCTCACACATGTACAACTCCTTCTCTGTGTCTACTCCAGTTTGTGTATATTGTGCGGCCTGGCCTGGCTCCTGTGTGCACAGTAGGGACAGGTCCGGCCTTACAACTGAGGCAGCAGCAGAGAGGTAATGGATGGGATATGTCTGAGTGCTCTCCTTATGTCTGGGTCAGAGGTCAGTTTATCTACAACTCACTGGAGAGAAGCTGTAAGTCGCTCTGGATAAGAGCGTCTGCTAAATGACCAATTTATTTTTATTTATTTAAGCTACATCTATAAAAGGAAGCTCCTTTTCATGCAACTCCCTGATCGCTTTGTCAAAGACCTCCTTAGTAACGCAGTAGATGGAAAATTCCTGCTACTTTTCTACAGTTGACCAACTAGATACATGAACGTGGAAACTTACATGCACCCGTTTCAGACATGATATTGTACAAAGTTGTACAGATAAAGCCTCTGCATCCATCTAGCCTGTTTCTCCTCAGACTAACCTTCAGTGAGACAGAGCAGGAGGGATGGAGCATAACCTGGAGTCAATTATCAGGGAAACGGCTTAACTTGTCAATCAGATTAATAATAGCTCACAGGTTGTCTCTGTGGTGACCTTTGACCCTGCTCAGACTGGCCTCTCCCAGTGTGTTCAGGTTGAGTAGATACATCTGAGTGGGTAACCCCGGGCCCAGAGAGGGCAGCGTTCAGCTCCACTGTGACCTCATTCATTACAGAGCCACATTATACTGTATATAGATTTGGTCCCCGGGGAAACTGAAATTATGACGTTCCATGATCTACAAAAAGCTAGTGGAAATCCACTTAATTAGTGAGCAGTGAGTACACTATCAGTACTGTAGAGAACCACTATGAACCTCAAGTTTCTCCTCAAATCAAATTAGAAGACATCCGCAGCTCACCTTGTCCTCCTGCTCCCTCCTCAGAGCCTCCTCATCAGCACATCTCTGGATGTCCTCCTGGATCATCCGGGCATACTCTGAATCCTGTTCCTCACTGGGTACACAGAAGGGACAGGGGAGATGGGCATGGATTACTGTCTGAGAGACAAAACCACCCTGTGTTTCATATAGAGTATGTACAAAATTGCCAGGGGGTCCACAAGTACACCGATAGTTTAGATTATGTAGGAATTGTTTATGGAGACAGTCTAGATAGTTTTTAAAAATATTGACAGTGTACAGTAAAATAAATGCACAGAGGGTACATGGAGAGTGAGGTGGAAAATGTGTGTGTGTGCCTGCGTGCGAGCAAAGTGTTTATTTAAATAAACACAGTGCCCTTACAGTTGTCTCGACGCCTGGCTCAGGGCTCTGTGCTGAGCTCTCTGTTCCTCCTCCTCATCCTGCAGCCTCTTGGCGATGCGGATGTCATTCTGCACCAGCTGGTTCTTCTGGATGTTGGTGGTGTAGTACTGCTCAACTGGGACAGAGGGGAACACAGGGTTACACAAACACAGCCATGGACCACCTACTACAGTAACTCTGACAGACTACTGTAAGGGGTGTGTGTGATGTACTTACTTTCCTGTTCCTGTAGGTTTTGTGCCAATGCTCCATCCTCCAGGACAGCAAAAACATGGCACACTGAAGGAGAGGACATGACAGTTAGTCAAGAGCCATTTTAACAATCTATACAATTTCAAAGATTTTACAGAGTTACAGTTCATATAAGGAAATCAGTCAATTGAAATAAATTCATTAGGCCCTAATCTATGGTTTTCACATGACTGGGCAGGGGTGCAGCCATGGGTGGGCGTGGGAGCGCATAGGCCCACCCATTTGGCAGCCAGGCCCAGCCACTGGGGAGCCAGGCCCAGCCAATCAGAATGAGTTTTATTTTTATTATTTTTTACAAAAAGGGCTTTATTACAGACAGAAATACTCCTCAGCACCACCCCCACCCCTCCCTCAGACGATTCTACAGGTGAAGAAGCCGGATGTGGAGGTCCTGGACTGGCGTGGTTACAAGTAGTCGGCGGTTGTGAGGCCAGTTGGACATACTTTCAAATTCTCTAAAACGACATCTTATGGTTAGAGAAGTGAACATGAAATTATCTGGCAACAGCTCTGGTGGACATTCCTGCAGTCAGCATGCCAATTGCACGTTCCCTCAAAACTTGAGACATCTGTGGCATCTGCACATTTTAAAGTGACCTTTTATTGTCCCCAGCACAAGGTGCACCTGTGTCATGATCATGCTGTTTAATCCGTTTATTGATATGCCACACCTGTAGGTGGATGGATTATCTTGGCAAAGGACAAATGCTCACTAACAGGGATAAACAAATTTGTGCACAAATAAACTTTTTCTGGGATTTTTTTTATTTCAGCTCATGAAACATGGGATCAACACTTTACATGTTGCATTTACATTTTTGTTCAGTGTAATTGAAGAGCAACCAAATATAATTTTTTGGGGGGTACATTTTAAACTCATATTTCAATGTCATAAAATGTGGCCATATCTTAGGGAAAGAAATGACCAGTTGTCTTTTATGAGAATCAATAGAGCGAGAGAGACACTTGTGGCCACATAAAAATATTCCTATGAGCTGTTTAGATGTACAGGAGCCCAATACTGAACTGAAACAGCATCTGGCCCCGTGGAACAGTACCAAAACATCTGACTGATGCTGGATGGAGCTGGATGGAGACAATGCAGTTGGCAGTTGATGTTTTTGGCACAGCACTCTGTATCCCCTCAGAGCACAACAATAGTTGCCCATGGCATGATGTCCTACACTGCATGTCCCAATCACATTAGAGGCCAACGGAAAGAGTATACAAGTCATTACATAGCCTACATCTAAACAGGCAGCTATTCACAGAAACACAAACCATCTCTGTGCGTTTGGGACAGGTAGATCTATTATTGTAATGTGATGACCAAAGTGGCTGGAGCTGGAGGGCAGCCTAGTGAGTCTCAGAGGAACATCCAGCCTGGAATTGTGCCAGCAGCTGCAGTGTAACGGTGCACCAAACCAGACCAGACGTGGTCGTTAACCGGGTGTGGGCCTGGGCTCCACAGAGGTCTCTCTTTCAATGGCTCTACTGTCACTCCTCTCATCAGCCACAGACTACGTTGCAACAGAGGAGGCTGATGTGAGGAGCTAAAGGAGGATGGGCTCATTGTAAAAGACTGGAATGGAATTGATGGAACAGTATCAAACACATCAAACATATGGAAACCACGTTTGACTCCGTTCCATTCATTCCATTCCAATGAGCCCATCCTCTTATACCTCTTCCCACCAGCCTCCTATGCATTGCAACCTTTTTACACACTCTCTTACACAAAACAGCAATACACAGGGGATAATTTGAAGTGCAGATTGTCATTAATTCAATGAATATGTCAAAGAGAAAAATGTATTGTCACATGTTCTAATAAAAAGTTAAATGTTTGAACTTTTGGTATATTTTTTAATGGGTCTCCCACATAAAGACAGAATTCTCTACACAGACAGTCATACCCTTTCCTGCAGGGGCCAGAGCAGTTGGTGTAAATAATATCTATCTTTAGTACCTACTCCCTTGGCACCCACAGGGGCCCCAAGACATTCCACAGCAGCATCTAAAGACTCCTGACCTCTGACCCCCAAATCAAATCACCCTGCTGCATTATGGTCTGACCGTGTTACACAGCCACAGCTCCCCCATCACAGTGACTGATATATCAGGCCTGGCTACCTGCTGAACATGGCAATACACCAGATCAGTTTACTACACGATTAACCATTCCCCCCAGTTCTTAAGCCACCAGAAAGTAAATACAAGGACACAGAAATATATATATTAAGAGAGTAGGTCACATAGAGAAAGTGATGCCTGATGTGAAGAGAGCGGAGCACTTTTTTACTTTTAAACAGACAGACCAGAGATGCTAGTTCTAGGTCCCAAGAAACAAAGAGATCTGCTATTGGATCTGCCAATGAATCTTGATGGTTATACAGTCGTCTCAAATTAAACTGAAGGACCTCAGCATTACTCTAGACCCTGATCTCTATTTGACAAACATATGAAGAATATTTCAAAGGACAGCTTTTTTCCCATCTTCGTAAAATGCAAAAGTAGAAACGTTTTGTCCAAAAATTATGCAGAAAAGCTAATCCATGTCACTTTTGTCACTTCTAGATTAGACTACTGCAATACTCTCCTCTCCGGCTACCCGGATAAAGCACTAAATAAACTTCAGTTAGTGCTAAACACGGCTGCTAGAATCATATTACTCCAGTGCTAGCCACTCTACACTGGATTCCTGTTAAGGCTAGGGTTGATTTCAAGGTTTTACTGCTAACCTACGAAGGATTACATGGGCTTGTTCCTACCTATCGCTCCAATTTGGTCCTGCTGTACATACCTACAAGTACACTACAGTCACAAGACGCAGGCCTCCTTATTGTCCCTAGAATTTCTAATCAAACAGCTGGAGGCATGGCTTTCTCCTCTAGAGCTCCATTTTTATGGAATGGTCTGCCTATCCATGTGAGAGACGCAGACTCGGTCTCGACCTTTAAGTCTTTACTGGACTCATCACTTCAGTAGGTCCTAGGACTGAGTATAGTCTGGGCAAGGGGTGCGAAGGTGAACGGCAAGGCACTGGAGCGACGAACTGCCCTTGCTGTCTCTGCTTGGCCAGCTCCCCTCTCTCCACTGGGATTCTCTGCCTCTCTCTCATATATTATTTTATTTGGCCCTGCTGCTTATCTATGAACGTTTCAACATTTTGAAGAACAAATCTGCCCTTAAAATGGCCATGTACTCTTATAATCTCCACCCGGCATAGCCAGAAGAAGACTGGTGAGCCTGCTTCCTCTCTAGGTTTCTTCCTAGGTCCCTGCCGTTCTAAGGTGTTTTTCCTAACCACTGTGCTTCTACATCTGCATTGCTTGCTGTTTGGGGTGGGTTTCTGTATAGCACTTTGTGACATCTGCTGATGTAAAACAATCTTTACAAATAAATGTTATTGATTGACTTCATGGTTAGTAACAGGATATTAACTGCCCATTGAGGAGGCTGGTTGCTGTTATAGGTTTTAGTGGAGCAAAACATTTGAAACTTTAGGTAGAAGAATGACCACTGTATTGCTCCCCTCATTTGATCTTGTTTTAATAGCATGTTTTAAGAGACCCGTGGGTGGGTTGTTTCACCTAAGTTGTTTACAGCAGCCAAGAGGGTCTAAACATCTCTGCCTGCAGTGAGTTTTTAAAAAACACTCACTCTGGGGCTGACATGGTAAATCAACAAAAATTAACACCACATGCTTGATAGTCAAATGGCTCCACCCAGTCACATTCTCCTTTTCCTCAGTTCAGACAGAAATACACACTTTCAACACAGTCTATCAGGGCTTTTCCAACATGTACAGTGGGGAGAACAAGTATTTGATAACCTGCCGATTTTGCAGGTTTTCCTACTTACAAAGCATGTAGAGGTCTGTAATTTTTATCATAGGTACACTTCAACTGTGAGAGACGGAATCTAAAACAAAAATCCAGAAAATCACATTGTATGATTTTAAGTAATTCATTTGCATTTTATTGCATGACATAAGTATTTGATACATCAGAAAAGCAGAACTTAATATTTGGTACAGAAACCTTTGTTTGCAATTACAGAGATCATACGTTTCCTGTAGGTCTTGACCAGGTTTGCACACACTGCAGCAGGGATTTTGGCGCACTCCTCCATACAGACCTTCTCCAGATCCTTCAGGTTTCGGGGCTGTCGCTGGGCAATACGGACTTTCAGCTCCTTCCAAAGATTTTCTATTGGGTTCAGGTCTGGAGACTGGCTAGGCCACTCCAGGACCTTGAGATGCTTCTTACGGAGCCACTCCTTAGTTGCCCTGGCTGTATGTTTCGGGTCGTTGTCATGCTGGAAGACCCAGCCACGACCCATCTTCAATGCTCTTACTGAGGGAAGGAGGTTGTTGGCCAAGATCTCACAATACATGGCCCCATCCATCCTCCCCTCAATACGGTGCAGTCGTCCTGTCCCCTTTGCAGAAAAGCATCCCCAAAGAATGATGTTTCCACCTCCATGCTTCACGGTTGGGATGGTGTTCTTGGGGTTGTACTCATCCTTCTTCTTCCTCCAAACACGGCGAGTGGAGTTTAGACCAAAAAGCTCTATTTTTGTCTCATCAGACCACATGACCTTCTCCCATTCCTCCTCTGGATCATCCAGATGGTCATTGGCAAACTTCAGACGGGCCCGGACATGCGCTGGCTTGAGCAGGTGGACCTTGCGTGCGCTGCAGGATTTTTATCCATGATGGCATAGTGTGTTACTAATGGTTTTCTTTGAGACTGTGGTCCTAGCTCTCTTCAGGTCATTGACCAGGTCCTGCCGTGTAGTTCTGGGCTGATTCCTCACCTTCCTCATGATCATTGATGCCCCACAAGGTGAGATCTTGCATGGAGCCCCAGACTGAGGGTGATTGACCGTCATCTTGAACTTCTTCCATTTTCTAATAATTGCGCCAACAGTTGTTACCTTCTCACCAAGCTGCTTGTCTATTGTCCTGTAGCCCATCCCAGCCTTGTGCAGGTCTATAATTTTATCCCTGATGTCCTTACACAGCTCTCTGGTCTTGGCCATTGTGGAGAGATTGGAGTCTGTTTGATTGAGTGTGTGGACAGGTGTCTTTTATACAGGTAACGAGTTCAAACGGGTGCAGTTAATACAGGTAATGAGTGGAGAACAGGAGGGCTTCTTAAAGAAAAACTAACAGGTCTGTGAGAGCCGGAATTCTTACTGGTTGGTAGGTGATCAAATACTTATGTCATGCAATAAAATGCAAATTAATTACTTAAAAATCATACAATGTGATTTTCTGGATTTTTGTTTTAGATTCCGTCTCTCACAGTTGAAGTGTACCTATGATAAAAATGACAGACCTCTACATGCTTTGTAAGTAGGAAAACCTGCAAAATCGGCAGTGTATCAAATACTTGTTCTCCCCACTGTACATTTAGTCAGCCACCAATTGTGCAAGTTCTCCCACTTAAAAAGATGAGAGAGGCCTGTAATTTTCATCATAGGTACACGTCAACTATGACAGACAAATTGAGAAAAAAAAATCCAGAAAATCACATTGTAGGATTTTTTATGAATTTATTTGCAAATTATGGTGGAAAATAAGTATTTGGTCACCTACAAACAAGCAAGATTTCTGGCTCTCACAGACCTGTAACTTCTTCTTTAAGAGGCTCCTCTGTCCTCCACTCGTTACCTGTATTAATGGCACCTGTTTGAACTTGTTATCAGTATAAAAGACACCTGTCAACAACCTCAAACAGTCACACTCCAAACTCCACTATGGCCAAGACCAAAGAGCTGTCAAAGGACACCAGAAACAAAATTGTAGACCTGCACCAGGCTGGGAAGACTGAATCTGCAATAGGTAAGCAGCTTGGTTTGAAGAAATCAACTGTGGGAGCAATTATTAGGAAATGGAAGACATACAAGACCACTGATAATCTCCCTCGATCTGGGGCTCCACGCAAGATCTCACCCCGTGGGGTCAAAATGATCACAAGAACGGCGAGCAAAAATCCCAGAACCACACGGGGGGACCTAGTGAATGACCTGCAGAGAGCTGGGACCAAAGTAACAAAGCCTACCATCAGTAACACACTACGCTGCCAGGGACTCAAATCCTGCAGTGCGAGACGTGTCCCCCTGCTTAAGCCAGTACATGTCCAGGCCCGTCTGAAGTTTGCTAGAGTGCATTTGGATGATCCAGAAGAGGATTGGGAGAATGTCATATGGTCAGATGAAACCAAAATAGAACTTTTTGGTAAAAACTCAACTCGTCGTGTTTGGAGGACAAAGAATGCTGAGTTGCATCCAAAGAACACCATACCTACTGTGAAGCATGGGGTGGAAACATCATGCTTTGGGGCTGTTTTTCTGCAAAGGGACCAGGACGACTGATCCGTGTAAAGGAAAGAATGAATGGGGCCATGTATCGTGAGATGTTGAGTGAAAACCTCCTTCCATCAGCAAGGGCATTGAAGATGAAACGTGGCTGGGTCTTTCAGCATGACAATGATCCCAAACACACCGCCCGGGCAACAAAGGAGTGGCTTCGTAAGAAGCATTTCAAGGTCCTGGAGTGGCCTACCCAGTCTCCAGATCTCAACCCCATAGAAAATATTTGGAGGGAGTTGAAAGTCTGTGTTGCCCAGCGACAGCCCCAAAACATCACTGCTCTAGAGGAGATCTGCATGGAGGAATGTGCCAAAATACCAGCAACAGTGTGTGAAAACCTTGTGAAGACTTACAGAAAACGTTTGACCTGTGTCATTGCCAACAAAGAGTATATAACAAAGTATTGAGAAACTTTTGTTATTGACCAAATACTTATTTTCCACCATAATTTGCAAATAAATTCATAAAAAATCCTACAATGTGATTTTCTGGATTTCTTTTTCTCATTTTGTCTGTCATAGTTGACGTGTACCTATGATGAAAATTACAGGCCTCTCTCATCTTTTTAAGTGGGAGAACTTGCACAATTGGTGGCTGACTAAATACTTTTTTTCCCCACTGTATGTATGTATGTATGTATGTATGTATGTATGTATGTATGTATGTATGTATGTATGTATGTATGCATGCATGCATGTATGTACAGTGCATTTGGAAAGTATTCAGACCCTTTCCCTTTTTCCACATTTTGTTAAGTTACAGCCTTAATCTAAAATGGATTAGATAAACATCCTCATCACCAATCTACACACAATATACCATAATGACAAAGCAAAGGTTTTTTTTTTAGACATTTTTGCAAATTTATAAAAAATAGAAATCTGAAATACATGATTTACTTAAGTATTCAGACCCCTTGATATGAGACTTGAAATTGAGCCCAGGTGCTTCCTGTTTCCATTGATCATCCTTGAGATGTTTCTACAACTTGATTGGAGTCCACCTGTGGTAAATTCAATTGATTGGACATGATTTGGAAAGGCACACACACCTGTCTATATAAGGTCCCACAGTTGACAGTGCATGTCAGAGCAACAACCAAGCCATGAGGTCAAAAGGAATTGTCCATAGAGCTCCGAGATAATATTGTGTTGAGGCACAGATCTGTGGAAGGGTACCAAAAAATGTCTGCAGCATTGAAGAACACAGTGGCCTCCATCATTCTTAAATGGAAGAAGTTTGGAACCACCAAGACTCTTCCTAGAGCTGGCCGCCCGGCCAAACTGAGCAATCGGGGGAGAAGTGCCTTGGTCAGGGAGGTGATCAGGAACCCGATGGTCATTCTGACAGAGCTCCAGAGTACCTCTGTGGAGATGGGAGAACCTTCTAGAAGGACAACCATCTCTGCAGCACTCCACCAATCAGGCCTTTATGGTAGAGTGGCCAGATGGAAGCCACTCCTCAGTAAAAGGCACATGACAGGCCGCTTGGAGTTTGCCAAAAGGCACCTAAAGGACTTAGACTAGATTCTCTGGTCTGATGAAACCAAAATTGAACTATTTTACCTGAATGCCAAGCATCACATCTGGAAGAAACCTGGCACTATCCCTACGGTGAAGCATGGTGGTGGCAGCATCATGCTCCAGAGCGCTCAGGACCTCAGACTGGGGCAAAGGTTCACCTTCCAATAGGACAACAACCCTAAGCACACAGCCAAGACAACGCAGGAGTGGTTTTGGGACAAGTCTCTGAATGTCCTTGAGTGGCCCAGCCAGAGCCCAGACTTGAACCCGATCTAACATCTCTGGAGAGACCTGAAAATAGCTGTGCAGTGACACTCCCAATCCAACCTGACAGACCATAAGAGGATCTGCAGAGAAGAATGGGAGAAAATCCCCAACTACAGGTGTGCCAAGCTTGTAGCATCATACCCAAGAAGACTCGAGGCTGTAAATGCTGCCAAAGGTGCTTCAACAAAGTACTGAGTAAAGGGTCTGAATACTTATATAAATGTGATATTTCAGTTTTAGATTTTTTATAAATTTGCAAACATTTCTAAAAACCTGTTTTTGCTTTGTCTTTATGGGGTATTGTGTATAGATTGACAATTTAATCAATTTTAGAATAAGGCTGTAACGTAACAAAATGTGGAAAATGTCTGAATACATTCCGAATGCACTGTATACAGTTGAAGTTGGAAGTTTACATACACCTTTGCCAAATACATTTAAACTCAGTTTCACAATTCCTGACATTTAATCCTAGTAAAAATTCCCTGTCTTAGGTCAGTTAGGATCACCACTTTATTTTAAGAATGTGAAATGTCAGAATAATAATAGAGAGAATGATTTCTTTCAGCTTTTATTTATTTCATCACATTCCTAGTGGGTCAGAAGTTTACATAAACTCAATTAGTATTTGGTAGCATTGCCTTTAAATTGTTAACTTGGGTCAAAGGTTTCGGATCACCTTCCACAAGCTTCCCACAATAAGTTGGGTGAATTTTGGCCCATTCCTCCTGACAGAGCTGGTGTAACTGAGTCAGGTTTGTAGGCCTCCTTGCTCGCACATGCTTTTTCAGTTCTGCCCACATATTTTCTACAGGATTAAGGTCAGGGCTTTGTGATGGCCACTCCAATACCTTGACTTTGTTGTCCTTAAGCCATTTTGCCACAACTTTGGAAGTATGCTTGGGGTCATTGTCCATTTGGAAGACCCATTTGCTACCAAGCTTTAACTTCCTGACTGATGTCTTGAGATGTTGCTTCAATATATCCACATAATCCCCCCATTTTCCTCCAAAATAACGATGGTCATTATGGCCAAACAGTTATATTTTTGTTTCATCAGACCAGAGGACATTTCTCCAAAAAGTAAGATATTTTTATTTAACCAGGTAAGCCAGTTGAGAACAAGTTGGCGACCTGGCCAAGATAAAGCAAAGCAGTGCGATAAAAACAACAACAACACAGAGTTACATATGGAATAAACAAAACATACAGTCAATAACACAATAGAAAATCTATATACAGTGTGTGCAAATGTAGTAAGTTATGGAGGTAAGGCAATAAATATGCCATAGTGCAAAATAATTACAATTTAGTATTAACACTGGAGTGATGTGCAGAAGATGATGTGCAAATAGAGATACTGGGGTGCAAATGAGCAAAATAAATAACTATATGGGGATGAGGTAGTTGGGTGGGCTAATTACAGATGGGCTGTGTACAGGTGCATTGATCGGTAAGCTGCTCTGACAACTGATGCTTAAAATTAGTAAGGGAGATAAGGGTCTCCAGCTTCAGAGATCTTTGCAGTTCGTTCCAGTCATTTGCAGCAGAGAACTGGAAGGATTGGCGGCCAAAGGAGGTGTTGGCTTCGGGGATGACCAGTGAGATATACCTGCTGGAATGCATACTATGGGTGGGTGTTGCTAAGGTGACCAATGATCTAAGATAAGGCAGGGATTTGCCTAGAAGTGATTTATAGATGACCTGGAGCCAGTGGGTTTGGCAACGAATATGTAGTGAGGGCCAGCCAACGAGAGCGTACAGGTCACAATGGTCGGTAGTATATGGGGCTTTGGTGACAAAACGGATGGCACTGTGATATACTACATCCAATTTGCTGAGTAGAGTGTTGGAAGCTACTTTGTAAATGACATCGCCGAAGTCAAGGATCGGTAGGATAGTCAGTTTTACGAGGGCATGTTTAGCAGCATGAGTGAAGGAGGCATTGTTGCAAAATAGGAAGCCGATTCTAGATTTAACTTTGGATTGGAGATGCTGAATGTGAGTCTGGAAGGAGAGTTTACGGTCTAACCAGACACCTAGCTATTTGTAGTTGTCCACATATTCTAAGTCAGACCCACCAAGAGTAGTGATTCTAGTCAGGCGGGCGGGTGCAAGCAGCATTCGATTGAAGAGCATGCATTTAGTTTTACTAGCGTTTAAGATCAGTTGGAGGCTACGGAAGGAGTGTTGTATGGCATTGAAGCTCATTTGGAGGTTTGTTAACAGTGTCCAGTGAAGGGCCAGATGTATACAAAATGGTGTCGTCTGCGTAGAGGTGGATCTGAGAGTCACCAGCAGCAAGAGCGACATCATTGATATACACAGAGAATAGAGTCGGCCCGAGAATTGAACCCTGTGGCACCCCCCATAGAGACTGCCAGAGGTCCAGACAACAGGCCCTCCGATTTCACACATTGAACTCTATCTGAGAAGTAGTTGGTGAACCAGGCGAGGCAGTCATTTGAGAAACCAAGGCTATTTAGTCTGCCAATAAGAATGCGGTGATTGACAGTGTCAAAAGCCTTGGCCAGGTCGATGAAGACGGCTGCACAGTACTGTCTTTTATCGATCGCGGTTATTATATCGTTTAGGACCTTGAGCGTGGCTGAGGTGCACCCATGAACAGCTCGGAAACCAGATTGCATAGCGGAGAAGGTACGGTGGGATTCGAAATGGTCGGTGATCTGTTTGTGAACTTGGCTTTCAAATACTTTCGAAAGGCAGGGCAGGATGGATATAGGTCTGTAACAGTTTGGATCTAGAGTGTCACCCCCTTTGAAGAGGGGGATGACCGCGGCAGCTTTCCAATCTCGGGGGATCTCGGGAGGGGCATGGGCAAGTTGCAGCGGAGGGTGCAGAGCTGGTGGCCGGGGTAGGGGTAGCCAGGTGGAAAGCATGGCCAGCCGTAGTAAAATGCTTATTGAAATTCTCGATTATCGTAGATTTATCGGTGGTAACAGTTTTTCCTAGCCTCAGTGCTGTGGGTAGCTGGGAGGAGGTGCTCTTATTCTCAATGGACTTTACAGTGTCCCAAAACTTTTTGGAGTTAGTGTTACAGGATGCAAATTTCTGTTTGAAAAAGCTAGCCTTTGCTTTCCTAACTGCTTGTGTATATTGGTTCCTGACTTCCCTGAAAAGTTGCATATCGCGGGGGCTGTTCGATGCTAATGCAGTACGCCACAGGATGTTTTTGTGCTGGTCAAGGGCAGTCAAGTCTGGGGTGAAGCAGGGGCTATATCTGTTCTTAGTTCTGAATTTTTTTTAATGGGGCATGCTTATTTAAGATGGAGAGGAAAGCACTTTTGAAGAACATCCAGGCATCCTCTACTGACAGAATGAGGTCAATATCCATCCAGGATACCCGGGCCAGGTCAATTAGAAAGGCCTGCTCGCTGAAGTGTTTTAGGGAGCGTTTGACAGTGATGAGGGGTGGTCGTTTGACCATGGACCCAATTACGGACGCAGCAATGAGGCAGTGATTGCTGAGATCCTGGTTGAAGACAGCGGAGGTGTATTTAGAGGGTAAATTAGTCAGGATTATATCTATGAGGGTGCCCATGTTTACGGATTTAGGGTTGTACCTGGTAGGTTCCTTGATCATTTGTGTGAGATTGAGGGCATCTAGTTTAGATTGTAGGATGGCCGGGGTGTTAAGCATATCCCAGTTTAGGGCACCAAGCAGTAAGAACTCTGAGGATAGATGGGGGATAAGCAATTCACATATGGTGTCGAGGGCACAACTGGGGGCTGAGGGGGGTCTGTAAGCAAGCGGCAACAGTGAGAGACTTATTTCTGGAAAGGTTTATTTTTAGAAGTAGAAGCTCAAACTGTTTGGGCACAGACCTGGATGGTATGATAGAGCTCTGCAGGCTCTTTCTACTGTAGATTGCAACTACGCCCCTTTGGCAGTTCTATCTAGACGGAAAATGTTGTAGTTCGGGATGGACATTTCTGCATTTTTGATGGCCTTCCTAAGCCAAGATTCAGACACTGCTAGAACATCAGGGTTGGCAGAGTGTGCTAACGTAGTGAATAACTCAAACTTGGGGAGGAGGCTTCTGATGTTAACATGCAAGAAACCAAGGCTTTTACGGTTACAGAAGTCAACAAATGATAGCGCCTGGGGGGTAGGAGTGATACTGGGGGCTACAGGGCCTGGGTTAACCTCTACATCACCAGAAGAACAGAGGAGGAATAGAATAAGGATACGGCTAAAGGCTTTAAGAACTGGTCTTCTAGTGCGTTGGGTACAGAGAATAAAAGGGGCAGATTTCCGGGCGTTGTAGAATAGGTTCAGAGCATTATGTACAGACAAGGATATGGAAGGATATGAGTACAGTGGAGGTACACCTAAGCATTGGGTAACTATGAAAGAGATAGCATCACTGGAGGTACCGATTGAGCCGGTCTCCGCGTGTATGGGGGGTGGGACAAAGGAGCTCTCTGAGGCTGGTTGAGCGGGACTGGGGGTTCTACAGTGAAATTGTATAATAAGAACTAACCCAAACAGCAATAGGCTAGGCATATTGACATGGGAGAGAGGCATAACGCAATGACAGGTGTTAGTCGAGAGGGCTAAGACAACTGGTAATGGCAACAAAAGTTTGGGCTGAGGCTAAACAGGATGGGGTACAGTGTAAAGGAACAGTCCAGCAGGCATTAGCTGTGTAGCTGAGTGATCATAAGGTCCAGTGAACAGCAATAAGTAAGTCCATGTGCAGGTGCAAACCGTAGTCTGGCTTTTTTACGGCGGTTTTGGATCAGTGGCTTCTTCCTTGCTGAGCGGCCTTTCAGGTTGTTGATATAGGACTCGTTTTACTGTGGATATAGATACTTTTGTACCCGTTTCCTCCAGCATCTTCACAAGGTTCTTTGCTGTTGTTCTGGGATTGATTTGCAAAGTACATTCATCTCTAGGAGACAGAATGCTTCTCCTTCCTGAGCGGTATGACAGCTGCGTGGTCCCATGGTGTTTATACTTGCGTACTATTGTTTGTACAGATAAACATGGTACCTTCAGGCGTTTGGAAATTGCTCCCAAGGATGAACCAGAGGTCTACATTTATTCTTCTGAGGTCTTGGCTGATTTCTTTTGATTTTCCCATGATGTCAAGCAAAGTGGTGATGAGTTTGAAGGTAGGCCTTGAAATACAATCACAGGTACACCTCCAATTGACTCATATGATGTCAATTAGCCTAGCAGAAGCTTCTAAAGCCATGACATCATTTTCTGGAATTTTCCAAGCAATTTAAAGGCACAGTCAACTTAGTGTATGTAAACTTCTGACCCACTGGAATTGTGATACAGTCAATTATAAGTGAAATAATCTGTCTGTAAACAATTGTTGGAAAAATTACTTGTGTCATGCACAAAGTAGATGTCCTAACCGACTTGCCAAAACTATAGTTTGTTCAAAATAAATTTGTGGAGTGGTTGAAAAACGAGTTTTAATGACTCCAACCTAAGTGTATGTAAACTTCCGACTTCAACTGTATATAGTACCAGTCAAAAGTTTGGACACACCTACTCATTCAAGCGTTTTTCTTTATTTTTACTATTTTCTACATTGTAGAATAATAGTGATGACATCAAAACTGAAATAACACATATGGAATCATGTAGTAACCAAAAAAGTGTCAAAAATAATATTTTATATTTGAGATTCTTCAAAGTAGCCACCCTTTGCCTTGATGATAGCTTTGCACACGCTTGGCATTCTCTCAACCAGCTTCATGAGGTAGTCACCTGGAATGCATTTAAATTAACAGGTGTGCCTTGTTAAAAGTGAATTTGTGGAATTTCTTTCCTTCTTAATGTGTTTGAGCCAATCAGTTGTGTTGTGACAAGGTAGGGGTGGTATACAGAAGATAGCCCTATTTGGTCCATATTATGGCAAGAACAGCTCAAATAAGCAAAGAGAAACGACAGTCCCATCATTACTTTAAAACATGAAGGTCGGTCAATAAGGAACATTTCAAGAACTTTCAAGTTTCTTCAAGTGCAGTCGCAAAACACATCAAGCGCTATGATGAAACTGGCTCTCATGAGGACCGCCACAGGAAAGGAAGACCCAGAGTTGCCTCTGCTGCAGAAGATAAGTTCATTAGAGTTAACTGCACCTCAGATTGCAGCCCAAATACAGTGAGGGAAAAAAGTATTTGATCCCCTGCTGATTTTGTACGTTTGCCCACTGACAAAGACATGATCTGTCTATAATTTTAATGGTAGGTTTATTTGAACAGTGAGAGACAGAATAACAACAAAATAATCCAAAATAATGACCCCCTCTCAATCAGAAAGATTTCTGGCTCCCAGGTGTCTTTTATACAGGTAAAGAGCTGAGATTAGGAGCACACTCTTAAAGGGAGTGCTCCTAATCTCATCTTGTTACCTGTATAAAAGACCTGTCCACAGAAGCAATCAATCAATCAGATTCCAAACTCTCCACCATGGCCAAGACCAAAGAGCTCCTCCAAGGATGTCAGGGACAAGATTGTAGACCTACACAAGGCTGGAATGGGCTACAAGACCATCGCCAAGCAGCTTGGTGAGAAGGTGACAACAATTGGTGCGATTATTCGCAAATGGAAGACACACAAAATACCTGTCAATCTCCCTCTGCCTGGGGCTCCATGCAAGATCTCACCTCGTGGAGTTGCAATGATCATGAGAACGGTGAGGAATCAGCCCAGAACTACACGGGAGGATCTTGTCAATGATCTCAAGGCAGCTGGGACCATAGTCACCAAGAAAACAATTGGTAACACACTACGCCGTGAAGGACTGAAATCCTGCAGCGCCCGCAAGGTCACCCTGCTCAAGAAAGCACATATACAGGCCCGTCTGAAGTTTGCCAATGAACATCTGAATGATTCAGAGGAGAACTGGGTGACAGTGTTGTGGTCAGATGAGACCAAAATTGAGCTCTTTGGCATCAACTCAACTCGCCGTGTTTGGAGGAGAAGGAATGCTGCCTATGACCCCAAGAACACCATCCCCACTGTCAAACATGGAGGTGGAAACATTATGCTTTGGGGGTGTTTTTCTGCTAAGGGGACAGGACAACTTCACCGCATCAAAGGGACGATGGACGGGGCCATGTACAGTAAAATCTTGGGTGAGAACCTCCTTCCCTCAGCCAGGGCATTGAAAATGGGTCGTGGATGGGTATTCCAGTATGACAATGACCCAAAAAGGAGTGGCTCAAGAAGAAGCACATTAAGGTCCTTGAGTGGCCTAGCCAGTCTCCAGACCTTAATCCCATAGAAAATATGTGGAGGGAGCTGAAGGTTCGAGTTGCCAAACGTCAGCCTCGAAACCTTAATGACTTGGAGAAGATCTTGGAACAAAATCCCTCCTGAGATGTGTGCAAACCTGGTGGCCAACTACAAGAAACGTCTGACCTCTGTGATTGCCAACAAGGGTTTTGCCACCAAGTACTAAGTCATGTTTTGCAGAATAGTCAAATACTTATTTCCCTCATTAAAATGCAAATCAATTCATAACATTTTTGACATGCGTTTTTCTGGATTTGTTGTTGTTGTTATTCTGTCTCTCATTGTTCAAATAAACGTATCATTAAAATTATAGACTGATCATGTCTGTCAGTGGGCAAACGTAGAAAATCAGCAGGGGATCAAATACTTTTTTCCCCTCACTGTAAATGCTTCACAGAGTTCAAGTAACAGACACATCTCAACATCAACTGTTCAGAGGAGACTGTGTGAATCAGGCCTTCATGGTCAAATTGCTGCAAAGAAACCACTACTAAAGGTCACTAATAAGAAGAAGAGACTTGCTTGGGCCAGGAAACACAAGCAATGGACATTAGACCAATGGAATTCTGTCCTTTGGTCTGATGAGTCCAAATTTTAGATTTTTGGTTCCAACCACCATGTCTTTGTGAGACGCAGAGCAGGTGAACGGATGATCTCTGCATGTGTGGTTCCCACCGTGAAGCATGGAGGAGGAGGTGTGATGGTGCTTTGCTGGTGACACTGTGATTTATTTAGAAGTCAAGGAACACTGAACCAGCATGGCTACAACAGCATTCTGCAGCGATACGCCATTCCTTCTGGTTTGCGCTTAGTGGGACTATCATTTGTTTTTCAACAGGACAATGACCCAAAACATACCTCCAGGCTGTGTAAGGGCTATTTGACCAAGAAGAGTGATGGAGTGCTGCATCAGATGACCTGGCCTCCACAATCACCCGACTTCAACCCAATTGAGATGGTTTGGGATGAGTTGGACCGCAGAGTTAAGGAAAAGCAGCCAACAAGTGCTCAGCATTTGTGGGAACTCCTTCGAGACAGTTGGAAAAGCATTCCTCATGAAGCTGGTTGAGAGAATGCAAAGAGTGTGAAAAGCTGTCATCAAGGGTGGCTACTTTGAAGAATCTAAAATATATTTTGATTTGTTTAACACTTTGGTTACTACATGATCCTCTGTAGTCCTCTGTAGCTCAGCTGGTAGAGCACGGCGCTTGTAACGCCAAGGTAGTGGGTTCGATCCCCGGGACCACCCATACACAAAAATGTATGCACGCATGACTGTAAGTCGCTTTGGATAAAAGCGTCTGCTAAATGGCATATTATTATTATTATTATTATTATGATTCCATGTGTGTTATTTCATAGTTGATGTCTTCACTATTATTATACAATATAGAAAATAGTAAAAATAAAGAAAAACCCATGAATTAGTAGGTGTGTCCAAATTTTTTGACTGGTAATGTATACACAGACACACACATATATATTTATCACAGAATAACCTACACTACTGATGTCATGATTCTTTCCTGTATTTTCTAAGCAGATTTGCTCAAGATTTAGTGAAACTCCCAAGTAAACAGGAAGTGATATCACTAGGAGGATGGTTTGTGGCAGCGGTCATCTCTTGCAGGGAAAGCCCCTGAGCCAGGAGTTCTCAATTCCAATTTAAACACATAATCCCATTGCTTAACCCATAAACCAGACTGGGCCATGTCTGTGTAAACAACATTCTCAGCATGGATTGGCAGAGCAGAGCCTATGTTAACAGTGAATGACCACTCTCTTCGTCGCTCTCACTGTCTCTCTATCCTTCTCTTCCTTCCCCACTCACTCCATCTTGCTGTTCTAAATTGTTACAGTAGACTTAAGCCTCCGTGTGTTCCTCTGATGAGACAAAATAGCTCCAGGGAACGGTTGCCCTTTAGTACCTACACTACACCCTGTTCTAACAATGCCATGTTACATCTTGGGTTCACACAAGCAGCCTGAGTTCACAGAGCCAGTCAAATTGAGGATGTCTCCCCTTTGTCTTGTTCTGTAAACAGGGAACGGTGGGTGCCCACGGCCCTGGGCCTGTCATACAGGGGATCAAACCATGCTCCACAAAACAGTGACACCCGGTTGGTGTTTCTTTTTAGTCAATTTGGTAATTTAGGTCAACAACATGCAAACATGTTCGACAACACTGCAAGTCAAAAGGTAACCACTCTTCCTGACCAATAAGCCCAGATACTTAAAGTTCCACCATCACTGTGGATGAATGCCAGTCAGAGTCTAACCAGCATTCAGGGTTTAACCCAGCATTAAACCTCATCCAGACAGACACGCCATTCAATTACAGTTACACCTGCCGTGTGGCTAAAGAGATTATGCAACAACCTGGATCAGCCAGCTGCACTTACAGTTGAAGTTGGAAGTTTACATACACCTTAGCCAAATACATTTAAACTCAGTTTTTCACAATTCCTGACATTTAATCCCTAGTAAAAATGCCCTGTCTTAGGTCATTTAGGATCACCACTTTATTTTAAGAATGTGAAATGTCAGAATAATAGTAGAGAGAATGATTTCTTTCAGCTTTTATTTCTTTCATCACATTCCCAGTGGGTCAGAAGTTTACATACACTCAATTAGTATTTGGTAGCATTGCCTTTAAATTGGTTTAGCTTGGGTCAAAGGTTTCGGGTAGCCTTCCACAAGCTTCCCACAATAAGTTGGGTGAATTTTGGCCCATTCCTCCTGACAGAGCTGGTGTAACTGAGTCAGGTTTGTAGGCCTCCTGACTCGCACACGCTTTTTCAGTCCTGCCCACACATTTTCTATAGGATTGAGGTCAGGGCTTTGTGATGGCCACTCCAATACCTTAACTTTGTTGTCCTTAAGCCATTTTGCCACAACTTTGGAAGTATGCTTGGGGTCATTGTCCATTTGGAAGACCCATTTGCGACCAAGCTTTAACTTCCTGACTGATGTCTTGAGATATTGCTTCAATATATCCACATAATTTTCCTTCCTCATGATGCCATCTATTTTGTGAAGTGCACCAGTCCCTCCTGCAGCAAAGCACCCCCACAGCATGATGCTGCCACCCCTGTGCTTCATGGTTGGGATGGTGTTCTTCGGCTTGCAAGTGCCCCCCTTTTTCCTCCAAACATAACGATGGTCGTTATGGCCAAACAGTTCTATTTTTGTTTCATCAGACCAGAGGACATTTCTCCCAAAAGTTCGATCTTTGTCCCCATGTGCAGTTGCAAACCGTAGTCTGGCTTTTTAATGGCGGTTTTGGAGCAGTGGCTTCTTCCTTGCTGAGCGGCCTTTCAGGTTATGTTGATATAGGACTCGTTTTACTGTGGATATAGATACTTTTGTACCTGTTTCCTCCAGCATCTTCACAAGGTCCTTTGCTGTTGTTCTGGGATTGATTTGCACTATTCGCACCAAAGTACGTTAATCTCTAGGAGACAGAACCAGTCTCCTTCCAGAGCGGTATGACGGTTGCGTGGTCCCATGGTGTTTATACTTGCATACTATTGTTTGTACAGATGAACGTGGTACCTTCAGGCGTTTGGAAATTGCTCCCAAGGATGAACCAGAATTGTGGAGATCTACAATTCTTTTTCTGAGGTCTTGGCTGATTTCTTTTGATTTTCCCATCATGTCAAAGAGGCACTGAGTTTGAAGGTAGGCCTTGAAATACATCCACAGGTACACCTCCAATTGATTCAAATGATGTCAATTAGCCTATCAGAAGCTTCTAAAGCCATGACATCATTTTCTGGAATTTTCCAAGCTGTTTAAAGGCACAGTCAACTTAGTCTATGTAAACTTCTGACCCACTGGAATTGTGATACAGTGAATTATAAGTGAAATAATCTGTCTGTAAACAATTGTTGGAAAAATTACTTGTGTCATGAACAAAGTAGATGTCCTAACCGACTTGCCAAAACTATAGTTTGTTAACAAGAAATGTGTGGAGTGGTTGAAAAACGAGTTTCAATGACTCCAACCTAAGTGCATGTAAACTTCCGACTTCAACTCTATGTGTCCAGTCTACACAGAATGTAGGATTAGGTGACTGTAGGGCTTTGATCCAGAACAGCTCAAGAGTTTAAGTCTTTCTCCAGGCCTCAACTCACTCACAGAAATTAAATGGACGGGACAAACTCCAGGAAAAATTCAAGTAGGCCTACATTCTTCTTGTAATAAAAAATAATCATGTTAAACAAAGACTGCTCAACTCACTCAGGCCCTAGAGCAGTGGAAGTGACTGAGGCTGTGTAGGTGTGTCCGCCTTGTGGGTTAACTTGTTTTCTGGAACTCAGTCAGCCCTTTAAAAACTAAGCTCAAGTTATACATCCAGGGGTGTGGACGAGAGGGACAGAGAGACAGGTTTTACATGACAGGGCGACTTACAGGAGCAATTAGGGTTAAGTGCCTTGCTCAAGGGCACATCGACAGATTTTTCACCTAGTCGGCTCGGGGATTAGAACCAGCGACCTTTCAGTTACTGGCACAACGCTCTTAACCACTAAGCTACCTGCCGCCTCAACGAATATATAGTATCAGTTCTCTATGTCTGACAAGTAGTATGGAGCTGCGGCTCGGAGTATTGTTTCTTCATCTTATGTAACGTATTCCCAGTGAATTTGGTCAGTTTTTTTCCGCAGTTCTGAGAAATGAGTCATTAAAGTTCGTAGGTGTATATTCCATCCTACATCCTGATATTATCAGGTTCTGACCAGTAGATGGTGCTGTTCCAGATTTTTTAAAGTTTTTTTTAGGATCCCCCCTCAATGTTAAAAGGATAGTTCACCCAAATTACAAAATGACATATTGGTTTCCTTAACATGTAAGCAGTCTATGGTCAATGTATGACAGCAACCCATGCATTGGTTTTGTTTACCTGGCCATGGTTTCAAATGCAAACTTTTTATCATTTGTGGCACAAATCCAATGCAAGTCAATGGTACCTACATTAGCATTTCACGCTTCATATCCAAATCTTCCTGAAGTGTCTAAAAATTGATTGTGTAACTCAATGATGTTACTTATAGATTATTTCAATATGAAGCGAGGAAATGTTAATATAGGTACCATTGACTTGCATTGGATTTGTGCCACAAATGCTAAAAAAAAGTTTGCATTTGAAACCATGGCCAGGTAAACAAAACCAATGCATGGGTTGCTGTCATACCTTGTCCATAAACTGCTAACAGCGGTGTTTCCCAAACTAAGTGGTCACCTGATTTGAAAATGGGGTCGCGAGAGAAACAACAACAAAAATAATCGTGCTTGGTTCATAGAACTGGGGTTACATCAGTAGCCGCCGGTAGCAGCTAAATATGGTTGTAATAAACAGAGCGGTTTCTGTTTTCTTCCTACAAATGTGGCTCCTTCTTTTGAAAGGTTTAAGCTATAAATTATTATGACCCCATCACTGAAAGATATGACTCTCAGGAACACGTATGAGTCTTGTTTCCCTCTACAGTTCCCACAAGCCTCATTAGAACAGATTGGACAAGACCAGGCCCTAATCAGACTGGGGGGAAAAGAACATCATCAATTATGTTATTTTCTTCACAGAAGATCATTCAAAAGTATTGCCTAATGATCTTCTGAACATCCCAATACCTTTGATGCATTTCAGTCACTTCAAACTCCTTCAGATTGAAATACTGTCAGAATGATTTGTAATAGACTGTCATAGCCCCAACTAAAAAAGTAAACATTTACAGTTGATCACAGTTTTTACATGGTGGGGTACCGATTTTTTTTTTTTTATATCAACATGGGGTCGAGGGCCCAAAAAGTTTGGGAACCCCTGGCTTAAAGGGTAAGGAAACCAATATGCCATTTTGTAATTTGGGTGAACCAGAACCTGGTAATATCAGGATGTAAGATGGGATATAAACCTAACAGCTTCAATTACTAATTTATCTGTACAAAAAAACATCACCAAATTCACTAAGAATACATTACATAAGATGAAGAAACAATACTCTGAGCCGCAGCTCCATATTACTCGTCAGACATAGAGAATGTATACAATATACTCGTTGTTAGGGTGGGATTGGCGCGGGTGTGGGGGGTCCGTGGGTGGCGTTTGACAATTTCTTTGGATTGAATCCTTTAAATTAAAATGGCCAATTTGGGTGCAATCAATTAGCTTAAATTCAAAGTTCAAATAATCTTTCAACCAAATAAATGTTGCAGGAATGCTTATCTTATGTGTCTAACTACAGAAATGATTTCAGAACAATCTCAGATGGTGGGTATCATGGCTTGCTGAAATGACATGGAACGACCCAGGGGATCTTACAGGGGCTCTTTACGTGATTTCACAGGGGAGGGGACCTTAAGCTGCTTTACAAAAGGCACTGACTTGTTTGTTTCATAAGAGGAGTAAAAGATCAAGTGGAATTGGTAATGGCGAATGAAGGAAGGAAGAATTGGTGGGTAGGGGTTACAAGGGTATCAGATTGTCAAGGTGAGGGAGAGATGGAGGGACTCAAGGGGAGGACATCCAGGGTTTCTTGTAGACCCAAAGGTTGAAAGCGATACAGAAATAGGTTAATGAGGGTTCCAGACAGTCGCCTCTCCAGGGGAGCGGGCTGTAAAAGATTAAGGTTGAAGTGCAGAGCCAGAAGCATGCAGCAATGACCTTTGCGACCTGTGGGTAAAAACACTCTCCCCTATCATTAATCTTCCTCCACTGAGGATGTCAATCATGCATTAGGAAAATGAATGGTGCTTAAACAATCTGAGTAGAATGCAAATCTGTCCAACCAACCTCCAGTGAGAGGAAGCGATTGTTAAAACACAGCCATTTTGCTTTTATCTCCCCAGCCACTTGGCCAGTGGATGATGTAAAGTGGTTGGCAGACAAAAGAAGTGGAGGAGGGAGAGTGGGAGAAAGTGACGAGGGGTTCTATTTTAAGCCAAATCCCCATCACCCACGCATCCCCCTGCTTCCCTTCTTCCTTCCCACTAGTCTGTTTTTACTGCTATTCGCTGTTCTGTAAACCTAAATCACCTCCGCTTAGTCCCTCTCTTTCTGTGTTGGACTGTTTTAACAAGAGTTGGGACCATCAGCTCCTGTGTGCTCAGACACTAATAGAGCGGTCACAGAGAGGAAGAGAGAGAGGGGGGTGGGGGGGGCTGTGTGGACTGGGAGAAAGAGTAACTTGGGGGGGGGGGGGGGGGGGGGGGCATTCCTTATGGAGCTATATTCCCCCTGTGAGGCAGGCTATATCAGGAAAGTAGCCAGAGGAGAAAAAAGGAACCGATAAGAGGGGAGTGAAAACAAAGCAAGTTGATTTGGCTGAGATTCTAGGATGGGGAAGGAGAAGTGGGACACTGGGAACACCACACTTCTGGATATTGATGCATAAATACAACACACAGGACGTTAACTTAACCCTTTTGAGTAAACCTGAAGAAAAATATAAAAACGCAACATGCAATTTCAAAGATTTTACTGAGTTACAGTTCATATAACATGCTTACCACAACGTGTGCGAGCGTTGCAAAATAAATGTACACATACATGTTATTAAATAATTTCATCCAAACTGCTCGCGTGCGTCAACGAGCGTCTGCTTAGCCAGGCGCTAAAATATAACTTTTTTTACGCTTGACGCGCTGCAAGACCCGCATCTCCTCATTGTTTTTTTAGGAGTATATACCCACGTGGGTGATTGAAAGATGAACTGAGGTCCACACTCCAGCATTAATTGTCTTAGAGAACACATGATTTTGTATGACTCAAAATGCGTCAAAATTCTACAAAGATCCAGAAAAAAAGGACCTTGTGCATTTCATGTAAAATAACAACCCAATGTTTTTATCCCAGGACAAATTAGCTAGCAACAGCAAGCTAGCTAAATGGCCATGAATGTTTCATGTTTCGACCTGTTCCTAAATGGCGTGGTTACACATGGTACTGCCAAATTCTCTAAAACGACGTTTGCATGCTCCCTCAAAACTACAGACATCTGTGGCATTGTGTTATGTGAGAAAACTGCACATTTTAGAGTGGCCTTTTATTGTCCCCAGCACAAGGTGCACCTGTGTAATGATCATGCTGTTTAATTAGCTTCTTGATATGCCACACCTGTCAGGTGGATGGATTAACTTGGCAAAGGAGAAATGCTCACTAACTGGGATGTTAACAAATTTGTGCACAAACATTTGGAGAAACAAGCTTTTCGTGAGTATGTAAGATTTGTGGTATCTTTTATTTCAGCTCATGAAACATGGGACCAACACTTTACGTTGCGTTTATATTTTTGTTCAGTGTAAAACAATCAGAACATTGACAAATCATTTCAGTAAAAATAAATTGTGAAGGGAAAGTTTAGTGTGCTGCTATTGTTTTAGTGAATAGTTTATAGGGGTCCAAGAGTCTACAGCTTGCTTCGTTAGTCCACTGCTCGCTGCTTAATGAAGCTCTCTTACACACTGTGCTCATTGTCTGTGGAAACAAGAGCGGAAAGGGAAATGATCGACATCTATTGCTGTCCTGCTCATTAGTTAGCATTTATTCAGAAATGCCAAAGACAAAGCTACCCCACCCAAGCCATTAGAACCCATTGGTAGAAATCAGTAACTTTGTGTCAAAGTACTGCAACAAGTGACAACAAAAAAGTAGCAAGTTAAAGACGCCAAGTTTCCTTAACAATAGACAGACAACCTTTCCACCCCCAGCTGAAATCAGAGAGGGAGAGTATCTGGAATGGCAATCACACTCCAGGCTCTTATCTGCTGTGTACAGGCCACATGCTACAGACCAGTCTTGGCTTTGACAGTGTACAGTCCTGCCTACCATGTTAAGAAATCACACGAGCACCTCTAATCCCAGATAAAACAAAACAAAGCGCTGGTGGAGAGGGACACGGCAACAACACGTAACCCTCTGCTGAAACACATAACAAGGATGCTGGGTAGCTAACTAATGCCAGCCTTCCTTAATGAAATCCCTCAAGGGTGTATGTAATGAGGGTCTGGCTGTTTTTATTTTCCCAGCAATTTAAAGTCACACACTTGGGCACAATCTTTTAAGTCTTGGTGGGGGACTGTCAGGGAATCTGTGGCCTTTCAAATCAAATGAAGTGTTACACTTTTGTTTCCCCACACACACACACACCTGTTGGTCTGGCCAATGAGTCTGATTCTCCACATACCTTCCTGGACCTGTGGCAGGTGGGACTGATCAATCTCCAGCTCTGTCATGGCTGCTGCAGGAGGGAAGTCACAGCCTCATTGCCCTCAGGGCTGGCCACAGTACAGACAGACCCTGGGGAATGAAGGGTACATGAAGACAAGTGAATCCAGTACCATAGAACAGTCATGTTCAACATTGAAATGCAGTAGTTACTCTTTGTTATAGCAGACATTCAATGTCACATGGAGGGCACATTCAGCATTCAACTTTCATAGTCCTTTGTCCAAATTTGCCTTTTGGCTTACAGGTGTGTGTATATGTATGTATGGACATAAGACTACAGTAGGCATACAGTTGAAGCACACACTATAATGACATAATTCCTTTGAACTCTACTAAGTTTTTATGTTAAACATTCTACAACTATTATGAAGCTTATTGACAGATGCTGTGATGGTTGGAAGACAAAGTATCAACTTGAGACAATGTAACGTTAAACACGGTGCTAGAAATGTAACCCATGTAACACTTGCATGGAGGTTACATACAGTTCGAGAAATTCGCACTAACGCAACGATTTTCTACAGCAGTAGGCTACAACATGTACAGAATTCCATTACAAAGGCAATGCACAACATTGCAATTACGTATTTTTTGTATGATAATGGCAATACAGACAATGTGCTCTGTCAAATGAATATAAAGATCAACAATATTTTAATGCGTGTCTGTCAAGCTCATCAATCGCTAAAAACATGCCCAACCAAAACCAACAAAAATTAAATAAACAAATCCTACAGCTGTAACCTACCTGTATCCGCAGCACTGTCCTGAATATAGTTTGTAGCCTTCGTGCACACAAAAGCGCATCCAACAAGTAAACATGAAAGTGAAGTATAAACTTTTGAAGATTTTGTCGCGGTTCTCTATTTTCCAGACACTTTATCTGCAGTTATCCTTTCATGTTCGCCATTGTCTCCGATACATCCGGTAAACCTATTCCAGGCGTCTCTATTTAGATCTGACACAACTACTATCTTTTTAGTTTATCAATGAAACAAAGCTGATAGTTTGATGGCAAGCCAGCACGGACAAACTTAGCCCGATAATGGACTAAATGAGCCTCCTTTAATAGTCCAAGGACCTTACATGTTCTGTAAGCCAAAACAGCCCAATACTCCATCTAAACGAGAATCGATTGATTCTCAATTGCGGTACGGTTCTAAAAACATAAATCCCTCTACTTTCATATCACATAAAAAATTATTCACAAATGCAAAATGCATACTTACTGTACACTGTTTTAACCGTTTTTTAAACACAGTTGCCGCTGACAGTATTTTTCAGTGACACACGTTTGTGTCGTCCATCTTCTGTTTACACACAGGTGAGATTCAGATAGATAATTAGCACAGGTAGTCTACGGTCTTCCGTCTGTTTTCCGTAAACACGCGCTGTAACATGGTGATATGGCCGTGTGGGAGCACTAACCCTATAAAGTTGTGTATATCAATTTAACCTTATTTATCGCGGAGGTCCTTACGCTTCCAAAAACATACCGCAAGTGATGCGTGTTAATGTTCAGACCAAGCGTCAGCTAGGGCTCTTAACAAAACTCCCCTATACAGAAGACGCCTTCGTCCAATGACTCTTATATGTAATGTAATGGAACTGAGAGTCATGATCAAGGCCTAGGAGAAGCTTAGCTCACGCACTGTCAAGTTGTTTGGCTGGAGCTACTGAACACTGGAAGTGTTATGTGTTTATCCTTTACATAAACGAATAAATAAAGGTTAAATAAAAAATAAAAAATAGTTTGTACCCTGTAGCTTACATCCGACGAATAAAACTTTAAACTTGTCAAACAAAACTTTAAAATTGTATATTTTTAAAACTTTTCCACAAATTAAATTGTAAAATGAACAGTTTAAAATAAGAACGATATTTTAATGCAATGACGTTAAATGGGTATTTGAATTACTAGGCATTTTCTGCCATCTGCTGGTGCCATCTAAAACCAACAAGTTGTGGTCATGGGATGACGGGTGACAACAAACCAGTGGCATGAGCAAAGATGGTGGATAAATGAAGATAGTTCACCAAGGCTGTTTACCATTGACAAAATGGCCAGTTCCGGTCTACTTTACTGGGTGTGTAGACACCAATGCGATAGCTGGATTTGGTCTACTTAGTTCATTAACTTTAATTGGGGAAAAAACAGCGAGTGGGGTGTCTCAATTCCGCTTCCTTCTATGGCATGAGTTGTGTGTGGAACAGACAAGGTCAAAAGTCAGCTACACCCCAACATTTAGGGTGAACTGTTTAGGAACAAGCAGATAGTTATATGCATCAAATATACATGAATGTGCATTCTTTATAGATGCAACATGTGTAAACGGGATCTATCAGCTAGTAGACTAACATCTGATCATCTCCAGGCTACTCCATTAATCTGTTTAAAAACAAATTTAGGACCTGCCTCCATTTGAATCCTGCTCCTTTATAAATGCTATACCCTATGCAACATTCAGCTATTTCTCTTCTAAATCTCTTTTAAATCAGCTCTGTTGGAGCTAAGTCCTTAAATATTCCACAGGTCAAAATGGGGACCATCGTTTGAGCCCATGGCACTGGCGAACAAATCATTTCAATTTCAACTAAATGCTTTATTAAAAGATGCTCTTTAAACCGCCATAAGACTGAAATTAATCAGATGGCACTTGACTAAAACAGTCTATGATTCGTAATGGATTTTCATGATATACAACACCACCAAACAAATTGTTTGGACTTCCAAGTCCAATGATAAAGTAAATGTCACCGGCCGCTTGCGCCACCTTCATTATCATACGAGAGGCCACGGGACTGACGTCAGAGACCTCTATTAAATAAACAATTGCGAATGGTGACGTACGTTTGTTGCAAAATGTTACCTTCTATGAACACACCCAGCCTGTCTCTCCAGCGTCTCAGACAATGGCTACATCTGCCTGTGTCTCGGCCTATTTTGTATGAACGCACACATATAGGAGGGTTTATTGCAGGACTAGGCAAAAGTGAAAGCCCAAATATAACATCTTGCTAGAACAAGCTTGGCCATTGAACAGTTTGAGCATCAATCAAACTGATTCAATGTCCAATGGCAAATCCTGCTCTGGCTTAAACTGACTTCAAATGTCATCTGTTCCAAGGGGCCTTCTGGGGCTGTAAAAAACTACTTTATAGACAGGTAACTGCCAAAATAACGGAAACACTTTAGTAAATGAGGGAAATGAAAGGGAATGAGGGATACAAAGTGTATTGAAAGCAGGTGCTTCCACACAGGTGTTGTTCCTGAGTTAATTAGGCAATTAACATCCCATCATACGATGACTATGCCCCCATCCACAGCGCACAAGTGTCATTGAATGGTTTGATGAACATGAAAATAATCCTGACCCATTTCAGACCCAACATTGTATTGTAGGATGAATATCAAAATGAATATCAGGGATGATGTTACATGTGTTATGTGTTAAATGTGATTTAATGTAAGAGCAGTATACATTTTTACATCAGCCCCAATGCAACTGACGAATTGTCCAAATAATCCAATGGGAGACAACATAACAGCTCCTTCAAGAGAGTAACACTGACTGATATTCATAAACACCTCCATCCTCATGTAGGGTGTATGACCTATTAGGCTACATTACTAACTTTAAGCATCAGTTGTCAGAGCACCTTACCGATCACTGCACCTGTACACAGCCCATCTGAAATTAGCCCACCCAACTACCTCATCCCTATATTGTTATTTATTTTGCTCTTTTGCACCCCAGAATCTCTATTTGCACATCATCTCTTGCACATCTAGCATTCCAGTGTTAATACTAATTGTAATTATTTTGCACTATAGCCTATTTATTGCCTTACCTCCATAACTTGCTACATTTGCACACACTGTATATATATTTTCTGTTGTATTTTTTGACTTTATGTTTTTTTACCCCATATGTAACTCTGTGTTGTTGTTTTTATCGCACTGCTTTGCTTTATCTTGGCCAGGTCGCAGTTGTAAATGAGAACTTGTTCTCAACTGGCTTACCTGGTTAAATAAAGGTTAAATAAAAATAAAAATAAAAATAAAATATAATGCCCAACTAACTGCCTTAAATGCATTTTTTAAATCAGCAAAATCACATTGAACTGTGACCAGTGAGTCATGTGTTTGGATGGGTAGCTGAGGTGAGGGAGCTAAATGATATTCCATAAAGCCTGTAAGTCATGCATTGAGTTGGTTCATTTGATGAAAGTGAAGTCACGTAGGAAGTTAATTAATTCATAAAATAAACAGTCATTTCTCTGCCCTAGTCTCTCCACCTGATCCCCCTCCAGATGAGCAGGGCATTCTAAACACCTGGGCAAATCCAATTTACCGATTCAGTTAAACTAGTCAATCAATCTGCCGGGATCGTAAAACACATCTTTGCCCCCGACGCATAGACCCACGGCACTTGTCCTTTTTATAGTTCCCTATTACTCATCTGAGTGACTGGATGTTGATTTATCACACACAGAGAGAGGGTTTGTGACATCAGATGGACCTATGGTAGTGTCACCCTATTGTGGTGACAGTAAAGATGGGGTGGGGACGTGGGGTGGAGTGGAGGCAGTGCATGGGTGTATATAACCCATTGGGGGAGAGAGCAGAGAGAAGATAACCCTCTCCAGACCTCAGGAGAACCCATCACCCACCCAGAAGACCCAGACACAACCGGACCGTGGAGGTGATGTGTAACCTACTCCTATCGTGGGCCTTCCTGCTGGTAGCCTCCGGCCCGCTATTGGCCCATCCCATCACAGACTCTGCAGAGATGCCCTACCTGGGTCCTGGTGAGTACCAGATCCTCCACCCTTAGAAACATACTCCTCAACAGGCCAAGCTGCTGGGAAAGGCTGTTGTAGTATGAGGTTATTAGGCAGGGTAGTTCAATAGTCACAGATGTAATTAAGGCCTGTGTGAGTCTTAATTACATTTCAATCTTGAGGATAAATAACAAACATATTGCAATCAGTGACCTTCTGTTCTGGTATAATTGCTTTGAGACCTAGTTCATCTGTCAAAGTGTGATTGTTTCTGAGAACTGAAGCAGTGTTAATATTGAATGTGTAATGTGCAGTTTGATTATGGTGACAATGTTCCATACAGTTAATGCCATCAAAGTGTAGCTGCTACTTAAATTATTTCTCATTAATCCCCATGGCTGGATTAACATAAACACAATTGTAAATGTATCATTGAATATTCAGTTAAGATAGTGACGAGCGAGAGTGAAGAGTGTATTTCTAGACTAGGTTGCTGTGTGTTGACTGTGTTTTCACTGTGTTCAGTATTCGTGGAGGATGGAGGAGCAGGTAGTCCAGACGAGCTGTCTTTCTCTGAGCAGACATATCTTCCCCAAGCTGGCCCTGGACTCAGATACTCATCCCTACTGTCTGGAGATCTCAGCAGAGACGGTGAGATCACACAAACTAGTTGGTATTGTGCCTAAACAGTTACACCATAAATATATAGACTGTCATAATTCAATTCAAGAGAAGTATCACAACATATCCTCTCTCACCCTTTGTCTCTCTTAGGTCTCAGTGCAGCTGGACTACTGGCAAGACAGATGAAGAGAGATGTGAGTTTTTAAACTGAAAGATGACAAGGAGCATATATTGAGCTACTATCACATTCTGTTTTGGGAGTACCGGTTTCATGAAGCATGAATTACTATAGCGGTAATTCTTCTCTGTTTCAGGTGTTGTTGGAGAAACAGAGTCACCTCAACCCCTTCAGCCACTTGTTTGGCATCAGGAAGCAGTCCAGGAAAAGAGGAGGCACCTCAGAGTGTTTCTGGAAGTACTGTGTCTAACCCAGTCAACGGTCCATAGAGAAATGCATTCACACCGTGCATTATGATGAAGAGATGTGGCTTGTACTGAGACACAACCCCTCTCTTGCACACAAAAAAGCATACACATGCGCACATATGTACATGCACACATACATACACACACACAGGAAAACACACACACACAAGGATTCTACACACAGACAGTGATGGACTGAATGGATATTCCACAGGTTGATATATGTTGCAGTATGTTTGCGGACTATTCCGTTTTTATCCAGTTTTCTATATTTCCCTGTCACGCATGTATGTTTCAAATGTTCATAACTGTTTGATGTTACTGAGCAAACATGACCTAGATGAAGAACTAAATGGCTGTATATTAAATAGAAATAAAATCTTCTATTTGGAAAAGCTCTCTGTTGGATGTCTGGTCCCTGGAAAAATTACTGATTGAACTACCAGATGCATTTATGCAGTCTGTGATAAAATAAACATTGACATCTCTTCACACATCTCTTCATGCAAAAAGACCAGATGAACATAATATAATGGCTACATGTAGTCTTTATTTGAATCATAAGGGGGTGTGGTTCAGTGTAGAAGACATGCAAAGGAGTCGTACTGTTCACTGTAGGTCAGAGAAGCAGACATTTGGCAGATCCGATTAGTCAGCAAATGATACTGTGGTATAATCTCATTGTGTTGTAAGACAGTCCATCAACCCCGGACACCGTTCAGCCGCTCCATTGGAAAAGCAGGCAGATACTTTGTATCAGACTTTCTGGACAATGGAAAGTTAGAGGTGAAGGGAAGAAAGGAGGGAGAGGAAAGATAGAGATTGTGTGTGAGAGAGAGAGAGAGAGATCGTGAGCGAGAGAGAATATGAGAGAGAGAGAGTGAGAAGGAGAGAGAGAGTTAGGAGAGGGAGAGAGTTAGGAGAGAGAGAGTTAGGAGAGAGAGAGAGAGAGTTAGGAGAGAGAGAGTTACAAGGAGAGAGAGAGAGAAGGAGAGAGAGGTAGAAGGAGAGAGAGAGAGTTAGGAGAGAGAGAGTTAGAAGGAGAGAGAGAGAGTTAGAAGGAGAGAGAGAGTTAGAAGGATCGAGTGTTAAGAGAGAGAGTTAGGAGAGAGAGAGAGTTAGAAGGAGAGAGAGAGTTAGAAGGAGAGGGAGAGAGAGAGAGAGAGAGAGAGAGAGAGAGAAGGAGAGAGAAGGAGAGAGAAATAGAGGAACAGAGAAACAGAGAGTGTCATCAACAGCAATTAAGATCGAAAATGTTAATATACATGGTGGATGAAAACAAATGATCCTTCTATTGACCACTTACAAGTCCACATTACATAATACTACAGTAATATTATTTCTAAATGTTGTTGTGTTTGTCTTTCTGACCTGCTGCTGACGTATGCAGGGTAAGGTCTGTTGTACATAGAGACACCGATCCTTGGGAGATCTCTCTTCTCCAGCTCAGCACTGGGCCGTGCTGCATCCTCCCTGGTTGTCTCCAGCATGGGCCCCTCTTCACCTCCTGGTACCAGATAACCCACTGACTGGAGCAGCTCCAAAAGCTACCGGAAGGAGGGAAGGAGTAGAGAAGGGAGGGAGAGAGGGAGAGAGGTAGGGAGGGAGCGAGGAAGGGAATGCAAAACAAAACACCAAATGACAGTGTGGGTCAGTAGTTCCTTGCCTAGGTAAGATGTTTACACAAGCTAGCTACAGACGATAATCTATTCAATAAAGCAGTTTAAATAGATTAACCACAGTTGTCCCATGACTTGAGCCAGCAACCTTGTGGTTAATGTCATCCGTGTTCATAAACAAAATGTGAGTCAGTAGGATAGGCTCAGTCTCACCTCATTCAGTGTCTGAATCGGTCTGCAATGACTTGCAATCACATGTCCAGAGAGACAGCAGCAACAGTGTCAGTATTCCCAGCTTCATCATCTCTCCTATGATATACAGAGGACCATCTCAAATCCATAGTCCTCACTACAAAGTATAGGTTAAAAGTAGGGCTGTCAAAAATAGCGCGTTAACGACGTTAATTAGTTGTTTGCTGTTAATTACGTCAATTTTTTAAACGCATTTCACGCATGCGCAGTGTGACAAATTATTCAGGTCAGGAAAGTGGTTGGGAGCTAGAGGCGAGATGGAGCAAGGTGAGCCTATTGACGGATTCAAATATAAAAAGAATGATGATGGTACAGTTAACAAGTACAAGGTTATTTGCAAGATTTGTAAGAAGGAGTTTCAATTTCACCGGAGCTGTTCAAGCTTGAAGTACCATGTCAACGCCAAACATGCGTTTGCTGGGCCGTCAGATTCAGCAAGTGGTTTGCGCCAGACCAAGCTGAATGTTTGCAGGCAATTAACAAAATCAACCTCAGATAATTTGACCAACACAATAGCAAAATGGATTGCAAAGGATTGTAGACCCATTAGCATTGTAGAAGACTCAGGTTTCCTTGATGTTTTGCAAGTGGCGTCTCAAGACTCATTCTATAAGCCACCGTCAAGAGCCACAGTTATGAAGAAAATCCACGAGCTCTATGAAAACGAAAAAGAAAAAAGGAAAGAGGTCTTGGCTCAAGTAAATCATATCGCCCTGACAGGAGACCATTGGACATCAGTGAGTAACAACAATTACCTCGGAGTAACTGCACATTTAATCAGTGACACGTGGGAACTGAAGTCTTTTGCGCTGACTATATTAAAAACTGAGGAGCGTCATTTTGCGGAGGCTTGTAAAGAACAGTTCCTGTCTGTTGCACGTGAGTGGGACATCGTATGCATTTCAGAAAAAAAATGGTTAGGATTCAGGTGTAATTGCAAATAGTGATTAATCATGATTAATCCACTGAAAATTCTGATTAATTTGATTAAAAATTTTAATCATTTGACAGCCCTAGTTAAAAGGTATTCCCTATAGGCCTTCTAGCATACCTAAGATCTGGGCATTAAGTACAATCTAAACTATTACTTTCAAATACATTCAGTAGATATAAGAACCTAACTCCCTGAGACACATTGACTGTGACTATGATATGACTGCACTACACTAGCGGCTCAGAATTTAGAACTACAGTAAGTTGGACCTCTGGATCAGTTAGTCCACTTAGCTTTGACCCCCATGACACTAGCTTTACTGGCTCCAGGCCATCTATAAATCACTGCTAGGCAAATCCCTGCCTTATCTTAGCTCATTGGTCACCATAGCAACACCCACCCATAGTATGCACTCCAGCAGGTATATCTCACTGGTCATCCCCAAAGCCAACACCTCCTTTGGCCGCCATTCCTTCCAGTTCTCTGCTGCCAATGACTGGAAGGAACTGCAAAAATCTCTGAAGCTGGAGACTCTTATCTCCCTCACTAACTTTAAGCATCAGTTGTCAGAGCACCTTACCGATCACTGCACCTGTACACAGCCCATCTGAAATTGGCCCACCCAACTACCTCATCCCCATATTGTTATTTATTTTGCTCATTTGCACCCCAGTATCTCTATTTGCACATCATCTCTTGCACATCTATCATTCCAGTGTTAATACTAATTGTAATTATTTTGCACTATAGCCTATTTATTGCCTTACCTCCATAACTTGCTACATTTGCACACACTGTATATATATTTTCTGTTGTATTTTTGACTTTATGTTTTGTTTTACCCCATATGTAACTCTGTGTTGTTGTTTTTATCGCACTGCTTTGCTTTATCTTGGCCAGGTCGCAGTTGTAAATGAGAACTTGTTCTCAACTGGCTTACCTGGTTAAATAAAGGTGAAATAAATAAAAATAAAAATAATAAAAAAACTGCCTGGGCTGGGCAGTATCTGAGGTAACTATGTCTGTGAGGTTGCTTTGCAATTGCGATGACTTTTGAGTTAAAATACCACAGGCGTTTTTATTGCCAAATTCAACTCTACTGAATAGGATAATGCCCTTAATGGGTGTAAAGTGAGTATCAGATAGCCGGAATTGCATTATTAATGATATTACCCATTACTTACAACGGTGCATGTACAATTTGAACTTATAGCACTAAAACTATGCAGTGTTAATATAGGGCAGCTGGTAGGCAGCTGGTAGGCATGTGAGTACTATAGTACAGGCATTGCTGCACTGGAAGGTACAGTAGAAGAAAAAGGAGACAAAATCAAACTTTGTTCGAGTTTTCTTCATTTTTTTCTTTTTTTATTATTTTACAGCAGAAAGAATATAAAGCATTCAGAAAACATCTTCCATATTTTTAGGGCATTTCAAAAAGTTTTGCATGGCTTCAGCAGCTTTTTTTTTAGAAACATATCCATCGAGTCAGTGACGCTTGTACATGCACAATTACAAAAATAAAACTTACAAACAAGAAAGAGAGGGAAGAAAAAGTAGAGAAAGAAAAACACAATAGGAGAAATGAAAATAAGGAGTGGTTGAAATAATAGGGGAAGGAAAGAAAGAGAGGGTCACATAACAGGGAAAGACAGAGAGAAATACAGTTATAGAGGAGAGGAAAATAGCTCTAACACTAGTTCACATGCAAAGTGTCAAGGACCCACGACTTTGTATTAAAGCAGGGCCATTTTTTTCTTCTTGGTTTGGAATTGATGAAAACGTGCAGTTCGGTAAAGGGTGCCATAAACTACTGAATGCTTGTCTTGCAATACTGGCATTTGCATAAGAGTACGTTGACTACATGTGTCCAATCATTTTATTCTTCACTAGGTCTATAGGTCTCCACAAAATAATGCTTATTGCTCTGTGTCCACAAGTGGAAAAGGTTGTGATGTGCCTACCTTCCAGTATTTTGGGTGCATTGACAAAGGAAGAGGAGGGAAGACCATCCAGTCCCTCAGGCCAATTAGCAGAATGTAATGAAGGTAATAAAATCCATATGAAGTGCCTGTTATAGCTAACCTGTCATACCATCCAGAAGATGGCCATTCCTGAAGTGCTTTTTCTGTAACCTAAGATCTGGTCATCTTCAACTACCCCAAAGTCTCAGGAAGACCCCATTCAAATGTTACAACATGTCATCATCCATATCTTAGCTGAGATTAAATGTTGTAGACTATTTGAAACTGTGTGTGGTGTTATTACATTATCATAGATTCACACAGCAAGTCCTTGTTTTAATGAGAACCATCAAGCCAGAGGAGGTCAAAGGTTAAATTGTTATTAGACTCATAAGCATAGTCTATAAAAGAAAGGAAAGCATTTACATAAGACTAAGCCATAGTATCCCATAATGCCTACAAATTCATATCTGTCAGAGCTGTAGCCAAGACAGAAACAATTGACTATACTGTTAATTGTGATAAGCTTGTCCTAATTATAATGATCTATACTACAAATACTTGTATCCCCTAGTTCTTATATCCTGCCATTACATCTCTCCTCAGTTCAGCTTACTTACTTGAGAGGAAATGGATACCAATAATGTATCCATGATCAGTAGTAATTTGCCTGTTTTATCCAGAAAGCTCTGTTGATGGGCCTTACGTCGTCCTATCCTATTTCAATACAGTATGACCTCTCTCTACTCTGAATCACCAATCAATGTCCTGCTCCACTTCCTCCTCCCCATTTTGGCACCCTGAGTAAAATACAGAAGGGAGGTGAGCTGTTCCCTAGGACTAGGAGTAGGCTAGGAAAATAACACATGATGAGCTCTCTCTGCTGAACTGTGTACAAGTGAGACTGACTATGCCTTGACATATCTGGATGTGTGCAGTGCAGTGTACTGTCGCATGTGTGTGTGTGTGTCTGTGTGTTGTTGCCTAGTAAAAGACTTGCAGTATACTGTCAAAAGAGTGTCCGAACTGTCGGGTTGGGAGCACACTATCTCTAGATCCAAATGAATAAAAATGAATAAATGAATAAAAAAAGATTTGCTTCTAGAAAAAACTTGCCCTCATGCTACCCCTGGAAACCTGGTCAGTAAATACTGCAGATTGATTATAGTTTTGTATTTTTAGGGTTCTCCTCTGCCCTCCAATCAACTGCCCTCCATCTTTGATAGTTCTGTGACATGTCATACAAACGTTCTTCGCTTTACAGAACAGTAAGTCTTTTACAAGTCTATCTGACTACCGATTCTAGAAAAATAAGCATGCTTTGGGTGCAGTTCAGTCACCCAGTTAACTATTTTACCCATGCAAGCATAATAAAACCTTCCCATATTGCCACAGCAGTGCATTAGCTAGCATTCTTACCACTACCGGAATGATGAAGGCAAAGTAATAAAACCACAAAAGTTATGGAATCAAATTCTCATGTTTTCAACAGGCAGTTCCAATAGAAAATAAAAATGCTTAGAATGTTGACAAGACGGAATGCATTCCGTGGTGATACTGGGTTGGTTAAGGGAACACTGTCACCTGACTGAATTTGGTGATGCTTTTGGATTGATATATTGTATTATACTTGATATACAGTAGTCCTAAAGAATTATGGATTCAGGTGATCTTTTTCTCTCCAAAGCCATGTTTTTCTCCCTGACATTGGCTTTGTGCGATCAATCGGGATATGATTAGGCACTTTCTACATAAACACTCTGAAAATAGGTTTACATATCAAGTCTCTGTGAAATAAACACAGCAGTACATAATAATAAAAACATCAGAATAGCTAACAGTGTCTGAGACGAAATTCAGCAATTGAAACAACAAAACATAATTGTCCAATGGCATTCACACCTTGTTTGAATAATGAATGTCATCACTTGAATGGAGAATACGCCACCTGGTTGTTTTGATATGAATATAATATATTTCAGCAAAACTACAAAAACCAGCAGACTATTGGATAGTATATATCATGGATTCACAGATCAAATCAACTGGTATCAATGTGTCTGTTCCCACCACTCACATTTAATTTCATAATCTTTCAAACACGGTCCTCACATATGCCATTATGAGCCAGACACATATTCTTCTTCAGAAGTTGCTATAATGACACTGGTGCATCTTGTAACGTTTACAGCTTTATATATCACTCATTTTTGCTCATTGACTAGGCTGTGCTGATCCATAATGGTTAATGTGTTTCACCATAACCCCATCCCTGTTTAATTATGTTCTTTTAGCACCTTAGATTGTTTAAACAAGTGTTCCTCCTGGAAGTAAATTATTAATTTACTTTTACAAAGAATACCAGTCCAGAGACGCTACACATGTACCTCGTTGACTGTGGCCACATGACATTTTGACAAGGAATAATTCTGGTCTGTCCAGACCCTGACAGCATTAGTCAAGTTAAGCCTCCAGCCCACACTTAGAAAAAAGTATTGTCTTGTGTCAGCAGTTTGATACGTTGATCTAGTCTATTTCAGGGTTTCCTAAACTCGGTCCATTTACAATCTTTATATGAACACAATCCATACAAACATGCAAAGAGACACTGACAACACAACCCCTCTTTCTCATACAGTAGGCTTTTTTGCACTTAACATGTTACTGACAAGTGATCCCTGTGTATTTGGTGATGATGGCAAAAAAGCTTGGGTTGTTCTGACGTGTGATAATGGAAGAGAAATGAGAGACTTAAAAGTTGCTGTAGAAATATTTCTCCCTCTGCAATGTGTACCTTTATCTGTGATCCACTGCCAGTCGGGATGGGACCTTGTGGTCTTCAATGCTAGTGTGTATTTCATTGTATGATTATCTGTTCTGCAAAGAGTAACTTAATTATCTTGTTAAGCAATATAGCATTCACATTACTTGGCACCATTGGCAAAATATTCTTGGTAGCCCAAAACAAAAATGTAAACATAAACATACTTGTCTTAAGATACTTTTGCAGATTTCTCCTAACTCTAAATATGTTATCTTTTTTAAAAGTTTTTAGCATTTGCAATAATGTCATGCTTTAGCAAAATGTTCTTCCCAAGAACAATCAAAATAAAATAAAATACTCTTATAGTGAAATACTTTTAATAATTTTACAGAGCATAGCCACTACTGCTTTTGTTTAGTTTTTTAACCTTTGTTCATGTTTTTCATGCACATAGCTCATCTTTATCCCAGGTATTTACACTATATACAAACAATACAACCATACTTCTTAGGCATTCAAACAAAACTATACAAATATTCTGTTTTTGTCTCATACCTGTTTTTGACCCCTTTTTAATGAATAAAATAATATATTTCTAAAATACAATTCCCTTTGGGTAAATGTTTTTCCCTACCTTCAGCCTTCTTTATATACAGAAACCGCTCAATTGTCAAAAATATGGATTTGTCTAACCCCTATTTTGGGACTAGCTTAGGGACCCCTCAAAGAATCTCTAAGACGTCAAGGCAATGTATGTGATCTTCCCCTCAAAAGCCCTCACAGGCCCTGAAGTTCATTTAAAAAGAACAACAATAACCTTCATGACTGTAATCATTACAACACAAAAGAGGCAAGTTTTCTTTCTTTTTAGAATACTGAGTAAACAAATGAAATAAGGCAACAAAAAAAGAAAAGAAGAGGACGATGTTGGTATAATTTCAGTAACTAGAGGGTATGACAATAGGGAGAGTAGGTTGGTACATGGGCCACTCAGTTGTTTTGAACATGAAGACAAAAGCAAAACATAGAAAATCGGAGGATACAGACCTAACTTCCAGCACGCAGGTGAAGACATTCACCCATAGGCATGCATATTTGATAAAATCGACAACACTGAATTGTGAGGAGACAAGTCAGTTGTAAATCGGTCATGGGCATGAGCACAAAACAGATTCAAGCAAAGAGGAATAGAAAAGAGAATAATAATAATATTTAAAAAAATAATAAGAATTGTAATTCCATTGAATCGCCCTATCCCTTGACTTACAGTACATAACCCCTCCCCCCAAACCTAGATAACAAAATAAGCCAATATTTGAATAAGCCCCACCCATTTCGGCTCACACCCCTCCTACATTCATATTTAACCCCACCCCTTTGGACTGACTGGCGGGGTAGAGCACAGTGTAACAGGAAGGGGACTTTTTGATCTATTTTGAGTTACTATACTGAATGTATTCTTCTAACTGTCGACAGGGAGTGTATGTGTGCAAATGGATCAATGTATTACTGAGAATTTTTGGTTCATTAAGTGACATTTTTTTCTTCTTCAAATGGAATAATCAGTCACTTAAAAAAATATGAAATACAATTAGAGCCAAGTCCCAAATGTGTTTCTGCTTCTGTCATGTTTCCTTATGTTCTGGCCGCCATCTGCCTCCATCCTAGGCGTCCTCTATCTTATCCTCTTCCTTTGATCCACAGGGACCTTTCCTGACATGTCCAGCATTCCTCTTCCTTTACCCTCTTAAACCTACACTCCGATACTCCCAAAAAGACAAAGCAAATCCATGAAAAAGTGCAAAGAATGCCATGAAGCAAATGTTCTGCCCCCCAGAGCTTCTTCCCCTTAGTTTATAATTCTACAGAAGAAGTTGCCACTCTCCAACATAAACATCGTCAGAGGGAAGTAAAAGATAAACGTGAAAAATGCTGTTGTTAGAAGTAGAAGTAGAATCAGCCACGCTGCCATAGTAGTAGTAATAATAATCGCAGTGTTTTCACTGAACTGTTTTTTTTTTTCTTCTCTTGTAAAATGTCTTGGGTATAAAGGGAAAAGGAAAAGAAGAGGCAGGAGGAGAGTGATGTCACATTGTGAGGGGGCTCTTCTGAAGGTTCTCATGTTCCTTGGCCCTTTTCAATTCCTTCACTCTGAAACACAGACAGAGAGACAGAAGTCATTTAAACAGGGGTCTATGACCGCCAACACAGATCATCTCTCACTGGATGATTCTGTATTCTAATGTCTCAAACCATTCCCGAGAGAGAGCGAGAGAGAGAGAGGACACCATTCCCTTGAGAGAGAGGACACCATTCCCGAGAGAGAGCGAGAGCGAGAGAGAGAGCGAGAGAGGACAAGAGAGATGAAGATCGACATAGTCCTTGTCAACGGGACCTGGAGCTGATTTGGAAAGAAAACATTGATAAATCGGACAACTATCAACATGTATCAAACTTTATTTTAACTAGATCTCATCTAGTCTAAATGATTCTGTTGAATCACTACGTCTTATCGCTCACTGAACCCATTCCTTCAATACTTTATATTCTAATAGGTCAACTAACTTTGAAACTTGAGAATGGTTCTTAAAGCAGTTTGATTTACTTTTAAACTCTTGAGAATCTAATGTGATTGAAAAAAGGTCTCTTGATAATTCAACTCTCTCCAAAACCAATCTCAAGCGAGGAAACAGGAGTCCCTTGGCAAGTCCACCAAATATTTGTTGGGCTGAAAGAGACCCTCAAGGCAGGCAGAGGTTTACTAATTGGTTTGTATTTGGAATATTGCTATACACCAAATAAATGACTTTATTACTCAAGAATTGTGTGTCAATTAATGATGAACTACAAACACAACTGAAAATTGAAGGCATTGAATTTGTGAAAATGTAATGGATATATTTAGACTACAATAGCCTAACCAAACTTGTATTGGAAACTGACATTACCTTGGCATTCCACTTGTGAACCATGTCCAAACACTACACTATACCCCAGGATATACAATACACTCAGTAGATCTGACTGTAAGTCACTAGCCAATTACTGTTCCATATCATAATCAATAGACATTGCCCTGTGGTAATTGTACTACTGACCACAACACTGGGACTGGTGTATATTCTCTGCCTGCCTTTGGTCTCTACACTGCTGTTGAGAGAGCTCCTTTCCTCATAGGTAAACAGGACGAGTGGACAATTTGGGGACAATGCAGTCCATTTTACATGAGGTTATACATGTACTGTATTTAACCCCAACGTCCTTTACCTGGTATCACTGAGCTTAGTGGTGAGCCCCCACGGTGCTGTATATATAGGTTTAGTGTTTTCACTGTGCTACATCCTCTTCCTCTCAGTCTGAGATGTTGTTCCCCTGAGGTGTGAATCCATTACCGGTACAACTCCTGCTGTTCTAACTCCCTGTTGTTTTTTTATTTTACCTTTATTTAACTAGGCAAGTCAGTTAAGAACAAATTCTTATTTACAATGACGGCCTACCCCGGCCAAACCCAGACAACGCTGGGCCAATTGTGCGCCGCCCTATGGGACTCCCAATCATGGCCGGATTGTGATACAGCCTGGAATCTAACCAGGGTCTGTAGTGGCGCCTCTAGCACTGAGATGCAGTGCCTTAGACCGCTGTGCCACTCTGGAGCTGTACTGCTAGTCTGACAATAACCTGTATGTGCTATCACAACACTGTAACCCAGATCATTACAAACATGCATGCTATCACATCTTTATAGTACTATAGCTACCTCACCTGCTCTCGAAGCACAGTGACCCATATTCTACAGTATAACATACCCCAACCTGGTCTCAGAGCATTTCGTATTATTCTGTACGTAAAGATGAGAGACTCCATTTAGTATTATATGTTACATTTGGTATGGTTACATAAAACAGATGGTTACTTAAGGCAAAAACGACATGGATATGAGCGTCTGCTAAATGACTTAAATGTAAAATGATAAATTCAAAAGGCCCCATTTTCTCAGAAGATGATCTACAGTGTCTGTGATTCATACAGATGACGTGGCTGATGATAACTGTCATATGGGTATTTTTGTCAATATGCCCAAAGTCTTTCTGGAGTAGTAGTCAGACAGACACACAGTTTCTTGAATATTTTCAGTGAACTAGCAGCCCTGAACTAGTGAGAGCTCCCAATGCAATGCCTAGAGGAGCTTTGACATTTTGAGTAAACAAAACCCAAGGGGGGTCATACCCCCCTCTTCTGTGTCATGTGGGGCGCAGCTGTTTGAGAGAGAACATCCGTTCCATTGCATGCCTGGGGGTACATTTTAAAGAGCAAGGCCCATAGAATTGTCACCGGTCATGCAACACAGTAAACATGATCGAAAAAAACAACCTTCCGTTCTGTGAATAGGCATCTTCATAACCACACAAAACAAAACATGTAATAATGAACATAAAAGTAATTTCCAGAGGGGAGAAAGAGGTGCCTGTTAAGTGTTACGGTGACATAGTCATTCAAAAGCAGTGGTTAGTTAGTTTAATAAGAGTAAAGTTAAATTTGCTCTGAGTCTGAGCTTCTCAGTCAGTCCACCTGTGGCTCCAGTAGGCAGCCTTCATGCAAGCAGGCATCAAGCAACAGTGATGGACAAGATAGAGGGAGGAGGACAGCGAGAGAGAGAGGAAGGGAGAGATGGATGGAGAAAAAGTGAAAGACAGAGAAAAAGAGAGGGAGAGAGAGTGGATGAAGGCAAGGACTCAGCAGATAAAACTATTGTTAGAGAGAGAGAGAGATTGAGAGAGGCAGAGACATACAGTGTAGACAGGGAGGAGAGAGAAGCACGAACTGAGTTGCTGAGGCTGCACTCACCCGCTTGAACAGTCTATGGTCCATCAAGGGGCTTCGCATAAACAGCAAAACAATACCAGACAGCTATTAGCACAAGTAGGAACTGTGAGGAAAGGAAGGGGGGGGGAGAGTAGGGGTGCGAGGGGAAGAGAGTAGGGGGGCGAGGAGATTAGGGGGGCAAGGAGAGGAGAGTAGGGGGGCAAGGAGAGGAGAGTAGGGGGGCAAGGAGAGGAGAGTAGGGGGGCAAGGAGAGGAGAGTAGAGGGGCAAGGAGAGGAGAGTAGAGGGGCGAGGAGAGGAGAGTAGGGGGGCGAGGAAAGGAGAGTAGGGGGGCGAGGAGAGGAGAGTAGAGGGGCGAGGAGAGGAGAGTAGAGGGGCGAGGAGAGTAGAGGGGCGAGGAGCGTTTAGAGGGGCGAGGGGAGGAGAGAAGGGGGGCGAGAAGAGGAGAGTAGAGGGGCGAGGAGAGGAGAGTAGAGGGGCGAGGAGGAGAGTAGAGGGGCGAGGAGAGTAGAGGGGCGAGGAGAGGAGAGAAGGGGGGGCGAGGAGAGGAGAGGAGAGAAGGGGGGCGAGGGAGGAGGAGAGGAGGGTTAGAGGGGCGAGGAGAGGAGAGTAGGGGGGCGAGGAGAGTAGAGGGGCGAGGAGAGGAGAGTAGGGGGGCGAGTAGAGGAGAGTAGAGGGGCGAGGAGAGTAGAGGGGCGAGGAGAGGAGAGTAGGGGGGCGAGGAGAGGAGAGTAGAGGGGCGAGGAGAGGAGAGGTAGGGGGGGCGAGGAAAGGAGAGTAGAGGGGTGAGGAGAGGAGAGAAGGGGGGTTAGGAGAGGAGAGTAGGGGGGTGAGGAGAGGAGAGGGGGTGGGCGAGGAGAGGAGAGAGGAGAGGAGAGGAGAGGAGAGGAGAGGAGAGGAGAGGAGAGGAGAGGAGAGGAGAGGAGAGGAGAGGAGAGGAGAGGAGAGGAGAGGAGAGGAGAGGAGAGGAGAGGAGAGGAGAGGAGAGGAGTCTCTGAAGTGTTGTATATAAAACCCCCCAACCCGTTTTATCATCCCAAAAATAAATAAAATAGAGAAATGAAAACAGAGAACTTGTCTGTTCATACTCATTCTTGCCATCTAATGTGTAGTAAAACATTCATACAGTATATCTAGCAAATCCCTACCCTGAATGGTTGTGTGTTTGTGTGTGAATATAACAAACATATTTGAAAACCCACAAGTTAGTGTTGTGGGCGGGGCTTACCTGTGGCGGCAGCGGCGTAGAAACCTCATGATCTTCCTGGCAGCCTGATCCTGCCTCTTAGTGAGCAGACTACTTCTATAAGACACAAGACAACAGGGAACACTGGCTTTTTAGAGGGTCCCCAGTAAACAAAATACACTGTGGTTGTGTGGAGCTAGCTTAGTTCTAAAATTAAACCATTCATTTATTTTGGAGATTCTGTCTAGCATGGGTAGTGTCCTCTCCAGTCCTCAAGAGCCTTAGGCTGCGTTTACACAGGCAGTCCAATTCAGATTTTTTTTCTCCACTAATTGGTCTTTTGACTAATCAGAGCAGCTTGAAAAATATCTGATGTGAAAGAAAAGACCTGATGAGATTGGTCAAAAGACCAATTAGTGGACAGAAATATAATAATTGGGCTGCCTGTGTAAACACAGCCTTAGTGTCTTCATCAATTTATACACGTGTACAGTACTTGTATGTTTAAAATCTAAATCAGTTATGCATGAGCACAGGAGGACACTATGACCATTGGGACTGCAAATGGGACTGCAGATTTTCATCCATTACAAATGGATTTCCCCAAGTTAAGTCTGCAAGGTTAAGTGGAGAAGGGCATAACCATCCTGTAATGAGGCTCAGCCTCCTGTATGTGTCAGTGTGTGTTACTGTGTGTTTACCTGAGTGTGTGTTGCTGTGTGTGTGTGTGTGTCAGTGCATTTAGCTAATTGTGCTGCTGTGTGTCAGTGTGAGTGGTAGCTACTTTGTGTGTGAGTGTGTGTGTGAGTGTGTGTTGATGTGTGTGTTTACCTACCTGGGTTTGTGTTGCTGTGTACAGTATGTGTCAGTGTGTGTGTGTTGGGTGTTGCATCAGAGTGTGTCAGTGTGTATACATACCTGAGTTTGTGTTGCACCAGGGCGGTGGCGGCTCCTCGGCGGTGGGGCCTGAGCCTGCCAAACTCCTTGTAGCTGCGGTAGTATTGCTGGATCAGCACGGCCGCCCGCCTGCTCTGCTGGAACCTCTTCTGCTCATGGTAGCTGCGGAACTTACTCTGGATAAGAATGGCGGCCTGCGTCATCTTCTTATAAAGTGCATACTGCCACAGAAAGGACCAGAGAGGAACAAGGGGTTGGGAAGACCCAAACGATGGCCTCAAATGCACACATCTATTGTCTGATTCACACTATACAGTGCCTATTTTGTTGCATTACAACCTGTAATTTAAGTGGATTTTTATTTGGATTTCATGTAATGGACATACACAAAATAGTCCAAATTGGTGAAGTGAAATGAAAAAATAACTTGTTTCAAAGAAATTCTAAAAAATTAATAACGGAAAAGAGGTGCGTGCATATGTATTCACCCCCTTTGCTATGAAGCCCCTAAATAAGATCTGGTGCAACCAATTACCTTCAGAAGTCACATAATTAGTTAAATAAAGTCCACCTGTGTGCAATCTAAGTGTCACATGATCTGTCACCTGTTCTGAAAGGCCCCAGAGTCTGCAACACCACTAAGCAAGGGGCACCACCAAGCAACCGGCACCATGAAGACCAAGGCGCTCTCCAAACAGGTCAGGGACAAAGTTGTGGAGAAGTACAGATCAGGGTTGGGTTATAAAAAAATATCTGAATCTTTGAACATCCCACGGCGCACCATTAAATCCATTATAAAATCTATCGGACCAGGCAAGGAGGGCATTAATCAGAGAGGCAACAAAGAGACCAAAGATAACCCTGAAGGAGCTGCAAAGCTCCACAGCGGAGATTGGAGTATCTGTCGATAGGACCACTTTAAGCCGTACACGCCACAGAGCTGGGCTTTACAGAAGAGTGGCCAGAAAAAAGCCATTGCTTCAAGAAAAAAATAAGCAAACACATTTGGTGTTCGCCAAAAGGGAGACGCCCCAAACATATGGAAGAAGGTACTCTGGTCAGATGAGACTAAAATTGAGCTTTTTGGCCATCAAGGAAAACGCTATGTCTGGCGCAAACCCAACACCTCTCATCACCCTGAGAACACCATCCCCACAGTGAAGCATGGTGGTGGCAGCATCATGCTGTGGGGATGTTTGTCATCGGTAGGAACTGGGAAACTGGTCAGAATTGAAGGAATGATGGATGGCGCTAAATACAGGGAAATTCTTGAGGGAAACCTGTTTCAGTCTTCCAGAGATTTGAGACTGGGATGGAGGTTCACCTTCTAGCAGAACAATGACCCTAAGCATACTGCTAAACAACACTCGAGTGGTCCTCTGTTGCTCAATTGGTAGAGCATGGCGCTTGTAACGCCAGGGTAGTGGGTTTGATCCCTGGGACCACCCATACGTAAAAATGTATGCATGCATGACTGTAAGTCGCTTTGGATAAAAGTGTCTGCTAAATGGCATATTATTATATTATATTATTTAAGGGGAAACATTTAAATGTCTTGGAATGGCCTAGTTAAAGCCCAGACCTCAATCCAACTGAGAATCTGTGATATGACTTAAAGATTACTATACACCAGCGGAACCCATCCAACTTGAAGGAGCTGGAGCAGTTTTGCCTTGAAGAATGGGCAAAAATCCCAGTGGCTAGATGTGCCAAGCTTATAGAGACATACCCCAAGAGACTTGCAGCTGTAATTGCTGCAAAAGGTGGGTCTACAAAGTATTGACTTTGGGGGGGGGGGGAATAGTTATGCAAGCTCAAGTTTTTGTTGTTTGTTTCAGAAGAAAAAATATTTTGCATCTTCAAAGTGGTAAGCATGTTGTGTAAATGAAATGATACAACCCCCCCAAAAATCATTTTAATTCCAGGTTGTAAGGCAACAAAATAGGAAAAATGCCAAGGGGGGTGAATACTTTTGCAAGCCACTGTATGGCCAAACGAAGCCAGGCTGACCTGGTTAGGCATTCACTATAGTTGCTGGAACTGTGCTGGAAAGGAAAATAGACTAGCCAACATTGTAAGGTTTAGGTTGGCCAAATATAGTGTGAATATTACTGGACTTAGGAAAGGAGCTGATGTAGGTTATGAGTATCAATATAACCAAGTCAAGTGTGATAATCAAGTGAAGCTAGGTTGTATTGTAAGTAATCTTAGACAGTGAAAAAAAAACAAGCAAAGTTTGAAATGTGTTCTACCGTCTTGTGGCTTTGAGTCTCTAGTGACTCTTGTTAAGGAGTGACATTTTAACCCCTAAAAATAAGGAATTAATAAAAAGAAAAGACAGTGAAAAGATGTTACCTTCAAGGCTATCCATGTTAGCTTGTAAACAAAGAAAATGTGAGATTGTGAATCATGAACAGGCATGAACAAGGATCAGCCTGAGCCTAGAAAAACGGACTAAACTGAATAAAGTGAAACGCTAACCATTATCTGTAAGGTAATGTAATATGTACAAACATGCATGTGTGTTGTAAGGGGCTAACTGTGCCCAGCTTACCTGTTTGTATTTCTTGTAACAACGCTGAATGACTGCCGAAGCTACTTCCTGTTGCTCTCTGAATGGGCGTCCCTGTGAGAGAGTAGAGTAGGAGAAGTCAGAGGTCAGAGTATAGGAAGTGGTGTAGTAGTCTATTATAGAGAGCCACTGCTCCCTGAGGTCTCTTCCTGGGCCCAGGGCCCTGGTTGTCTGGAGGACAGACGGAGGACCTGGGGTTGAGGACGCTGGGGGAGAGGCTCCATCCTGGGATGGGAGAAGAGAGAGGTAGGTGGTGGTGCCAGCCCAGTGTTGCTCTCCTCCCCAGTCTCAGCTGTCAGAGGGGGAGAACAGATGACTGTGAACGACAGCGAACAGTTTGAGACGTGGAAATTCATTATAGCTAGCTATGGGGGGTAGGTAGCAAGGTGAGGAAGTGGGGCGGGCGGGGGCGAGGGGAGGGGAGGCTGGGCGGGGTGTGTGGAGCTGGTTAAGAACAGGCAGCAGCGGGCACCACACACATTATTTAAAGAGTGAGAGAGAGAGAGAGAGAGAGAGAGAGAGAGGGGGGGGGGGGGGGGGGAGCTTATAGGGAGCAGGGAAGAGGGAGCAGTGCAGTCGTTCCTTAAAGCAAGGCCATGCTCTGCTCAAAGCAAACTTTGCCCATGCTGAAACCACAGGGACCACAGAGTTTGAGTGTGTCTTAGTGAGACAGATACAGAGAAAGAAAGATGGGATAACAAATGAGTGTTAATTAACATAATCCATTGACGATTACTGGGTGAGCATAGATAGTGTCTTGTGCACTCAGCACACTCCGACACAAACCAAGACATAGTTTTGTTATATAGCAACCTTTCTAGATTGAAGGGACCCATTAATAACTTCACATTTCACCTGATAACATTAAAGTCAACACCACATCAACATAGAGTGCCAGTGGTAGTCCTAATAACAATGCTGTACATTTTTTTTGTACAGCAGGTATGTTACTGTGTGTGGTACCTCAGCCCCGGACCTGTACCTTGTACTTGCGGAAGGCAGTTTGGACCAGACGGGCGGCCTCGTACAGCTCCCTCTGCTCGGGGTCGGACAGGGTGAGCTGGGCCAGGTCTCTCTCCACCTTGCTGTTAGAGGCCTGGATGAACTCGCTCCAGTCGGCCGGGGAGGGCAGGGTAGGCCTCTCCATGGGCCCCTCCCTCAGGGGAGACCCCCCTGGGCTGAGGCTGGGATTGGAGGACAAAGTCAGAGGCTCACTGTACAGAGATCTGTAAGGGGAGAGGGAGAGGGAGGGGCGGTTGATGGAGGTGACAGTTTAAAATGTAGTCAGCTAAGCGTTGTTATTAGAAGATATATACTGAACAAAAATATTAACGCAACATGCAACAATTTAAAAGATGAATTAGGCCCTAATCTATGGATTTCACATGACTGAGCAGGGGTGCAGCCATGGGTGGGACTTGGACGGCATAGGCCCACCCACTGGGCAGCCAGGCCCACCCACTGGGGAGCCAGGCCCAGCCAAACAGAATAAGTCCCCCCCAGACAATCCCGCAGGTGAAGAAGCCAGATGTGGAGGTCGTGGGCTTAGACGTGGTTGTCTAAAACGGCGTTGGAGGCGGCTTATGGTAGATAAATTAATATTCAATTCTCTGGCAACAGCGCTGGTGGACATTCCTGCAGTCAGCATGCCAATTGCACGCTCCCTCAAAACTTGAGACATCTGTGGCATTGTGTTGTGTGACAAAACTGCACATTTTAAAGTGGCCTTTTATTGTCCCCAGCACAAGGTGCACCTGTGTAATGATCATGCTGTTTAATCAGCTTCTTAATATGCCACACCTGCCAGTTGGATGGATTATCTTGGCAAAGGAGACATGCTCACTAACAGGGATGTAAACAAATGCGTGCACAAAATCTGAGCTAAATAAGCTTTTTGTGCATATGATTTTTGGGGGGGATTTTCTGTTTCAGCTCATGAAACATCGGACCAACACTCTACATGTTGCGTTTATATTTTGTTCAGTGTAGTTCCAATACACTACTGCTATGTCAAGCACAGGAAATCTTCTGCAAAACATTTAGGGTCAGATTCCCAGATCAGAATTAAGCCTACAAATTCTCCATTGTGCATGCTTTTTAGACCAGGTATAGGCTTAATCCGCGTACAGGAAACCAGACCTAGATCACATTCAGTCCAGAGTGCGGCTCTGCTGTGTTGCTCACCGTAGGTGTATGATGCTGGGAAGCTGCTCCACGTCTCCGAGGTAACTGGCCAACCAGCTCATGGTGTTGCTGACCCCAGTACTGTCCAGGGGCACCCCGTCCAGGGCCACAAAGTTCTCCCTCTTGATCCTCTCTGGGGTCGCCTCAATGATGTGCTCTGCCAGAGTCATCATGTTCTCCTGCAGGGGGAGAATCACCCAGGATTGAGTATACTGTAGATCACACACTTAGCACATTGTCATATCATTGCCTATTTTCTTGTAAACTCTGCTTTTAGGTTACTGTACAACATTTTGTTGCATTCTTATTTTCATTGTCTAAGATGTTTCCACATTATGAGTATTGAGTGTGCAAGTTTATAATTATTTATAGGAAACAATGAACATTAAACATGAGTCATGTCAAGACAATGACGTTGGTGATGATAATGATAACGATCACAATAATTGTTATTGCTGTGCTGTCCTACCCCTCATCTCCTACCCCTCATCTCCTACCCCTCATCTCCCAGTCTCATCTCCTACCCCTCATCTCCTACCCCTCATCTCCTACCCCTCATCTCCTACCCCTCATCTCCCAGTCTCATCTCCTACCCCTCATCTCCTACCCCTCATCTCCTACCCCTCATCTCCCAGTCTCATCTCCTACCCCTCATCTCCTACCCCTCATCTCCCAGTCTCATCTCCTACCCCTCATCTCCCAGTCTCATCTCCTACCCCTCATCTCCCAGCCTCATCTCCTACCCCTCATCTCCCAGTCTCACCTCCTACCCCTCATCTCCCAGTCTCATCTCCTACCCCTCATCTCCCAGCCTCATCTCCTACCCCTCATCTCCCAGTCTCATCTCCTACCCCTCATCTCCTACCCCTCATCTCCTACCCCTCATCTCCCAGTCTCATATCCTACCCCTCATCTCCCAGCCACATCTCCTACCCCTCATCTCCCAGTCTCATCTCCTACCCCTCATCTCCTACCCCTCATCTCCCAGCCTCATCTCCTACCCCTCATCTCCCAGTCTCATCTCCTACCCCTCATCTCCCAGTCTCATCTCCTACCCCTCATCTCCCAGCCTCATCTCCTACCCCTCATCTCCCAGCCTCATCTCCTACCCCCTCATCTCCCAGTCTCATCTCCTACCCCTCATCTCCCAGTCTCATCTCCTACCCCTCATCTCCCAGCCTCATCTCCTACCCCTCATCTCCCAGTCTCATCTCCTACCCCTCATCTCCCAGTCTCATCTCCTACCCCTCATCTCCCAGCCTCATCTCCTACCCCTCATCTCCCAGCCTCATCTCCTACCCCTCATCTCATACCCCTCATCTCCTACCCCTCATCTCCCAGCCTCATCTCCTACCCCTCATCTCCCAGCCTCATCTCCCAGCCTCATCTCCCAGTCTCATCTCCCAGTCTCATCTCCCAGTCTCATCTCCCAGACTCATATCCCAGTCTCATCTCCCAGCCTCATCTCGCAGCCTCATCTCCCAGACTCATCTCCCAGACTCATCTCCCAGTCTCATCTCCCAGCCTCATCTCCCAGCCTCATCTCCCAGCCTCATCTCCCAGTCTCATCTCCCAGACTCATCTCCCAGCCTCATCTCCCAGCCTCATCTCCCAGCCTAATCTCCCAGCCTCATCTCCCAGCCTCATCTCCCAGTCTCATCTCCCAGCTTCATCTCCCAGACTCATCTCCCAGCCTCATCTCCCAGTCTCATCTCCCAGCCTCATCTCCCAGACTCATCTCCCAGACTCATCTCCCAGTCTCATCTCCCAGGCTCATATCCCAGCCTCATATCCCAGCCTCATATCCCAGTCTCATCTCCCAGACTCATCTCCCAGCCTCATCTCCCAGCCTCATCTCCCAGGCTCATCTCCCAGCCTTATCTCCCAGTCTCACCTCCCAGCCTCATCTCCCAGCCTCCTATCCCAGTCTCATATCCCAGCCTCATCTCCCAGACTCATCTCCCAGACTCATCTCCCAGCCTCATCTCCCAGCCTCATCTCCCAGCCTCATCTCCCAGTCTCATCTCCCAGACTCATCTCCCAGACTCATTTCCCAGTCATCTCCCAGACTCATCTCCCAGACTCATCTCCCAGCCTCATCTCCCAGCCTCATCTCCCAGTCTCATCTCCCAGCCTCATCTCCCAGCTTCATCTCCCAGCCTCATCTCCCAGTCTCATCTCCCAGCCTCATCTCCCAGCCTCATCTCCCAGTCTCAGCCTCATTTCAGCCTCACCCTCAGCCTCAGCCTCAGTAGCAGTGTGACTGTGATGGATGGCAGAAGGCTCCCTTGGCTGTGGGAGGTCCACACACTGCCAGGGAGGTCTAGGGTCTGCGTGTGTGTCTGTGTTTGTGTGTGTATGTTGATTTCACATGTCAGGGCATCCAGTGGCATGGCCCAACAGAGCTGCAGGCGGTCAATCTCAATCTTCTTGTCATGTTTATTAACTGGCAGTCCAGATCGATAGACTTGATGTTGATATTATGACATCCTACAGATATAGTTGTCTGGTAAACTAGTGTGAATGTAAGTGCAATGAGCAGGCCGATGGACAGGGTTGGCAGTGGAGTGAGTGGTAAACAGTAGAGTAACTGTCTTGACTAAAGACATGGTAAAAAGTACAGTAACTATCTCTAGTAAACGTATGATAAATAGTAGACTTGAATAAAGAGACAGTAGAGAGTAGGGTGAGTTCACTGACCTGTAGGTCGTCCATCTGCGTCATACAGTCCTGGTTCTCCAGGTCTTCTCTGTAGGAGAACAGCTCAGTGTCCACCATCTCTCTCTCAGCCATCACCAGCATGTTCCCCAGCTGTTCCCTCTGTCTTAGCCTGCTAGCCAGCTTCTCCTTCCCCAGGCTGCTGCCCCCAGAGCCCCCTGAACCCTTCCTGCCTGAGTCCCTGCTGGAGAAACCCTCCCTAGAGCTCCACTTGGCTCCCCCGGCTCCTCCAGCGCTTCCCCCACTGGAGAGGCTCTTGTCTGGGCTGAGGCCCTCAGGGGACAGGGTCTTGGGGCTGAAGGACAGCTTGTGGAGCTGCTGTTGCTCCAGGCTCAGTGGGACAGACCTGGCCTTGTCGGGCCTGACCTGGAACAGCTCTGGATTGGGCTTGTGTTTCTTGGCCAAGGGCAGGTCTCGCTGGCACTCACTGCTGTAGTAGTTGGAGGGCTCGGATCGCGGCCTTCTCAAGTCTGCAGAAGGGTTACAAGATACTATTTTAGAGACATTTAAACAAACTATATTAACAAAACTTTGTTGTCTAAAGGTATTTTCCATTGCCCATTTTCCCCACTGATACCAGTGTGGTGCCTCTGTTATTCCCTCTCCTTCAGTCTGCACTGACCTGGGTTGAGGTTGGTGGTGGTGGAGGTGGTCATGGTGGCGGCGCCGCCTTTCTTTCCGCCGGGCGCCATAACGCTGTCGCTGGCCCATGTGACCATCCAGCTGTCTGAGGTGGGTGCGTCGTGGGGGGTGGGGGAGAAGGACATGCGTGTGGTGGGGGGCAGGGGTGCAGGAGGCTGCTGTTCCTCTCTCTGCAGCTGCTCCAAACACTCGGCCAGCTTGGTGTGGCCACGGGAGCGGGCGATGGACAGGGGCAGACGTCCCAGAGAGTCAGGGATGGCCAGGGCCCGCCGGTCCCACTTATACAGGACCACTGCCGCTTCCAGGTGACCCAGGGCACACGCCCACATCTACAGAGAACACAGCAGGGACACAGGTCAGAGGTCGCAGGTCAGAGGACACAGAGGGATGGCTCTAGCATGCCTGTAGTAACTTTACTTTCTTGGAAAATATAATCTTACAAGTGAAGTCTTTATGAAAGACTTTATGGAAGACCCCTGCAGTGGTTTCATGAGATAAAGCTCTCTATAACTTACCAGAGGGGTGCAGGAGAAGTGGTCCACATTGAGTGGGTCCACCTCCAGCTCCAGGTCAATACTGTCTGCATGCTTGGTGCTGGTGGGGGTAGAGAAGAACACTGAGACTCCCAGACTAAACTCTGGCTAAAATAGATAGATCCATGCTTTATTGACAACTTTTTAATATAGTATTTTATGGTCTTAAACTAGTTCCATAATAGACATTCCTAGGTCCTAGGGTCTCTCTGTACTGTATATTAACATTACTTTTATAACCAGTCAATAAGAGGCCTCTGAGGTTCTCACTCACCGCCACTTGATGAGTGTCTGGATGAGGGTGGCGTATCCCTGCCCAGCAGCCAGGTGAAGCAGGGTCATGCCCCTGAAGGTCTTGGAGTGGATCAGCTGTTTGGACTTGGCCCAGCAGGCCCGGTTCATCATCTTCTCACACACCACCACCACACGGCTCTCAAAGCTGCTGCCCGCCTGACCCTGCGCTGACACACACTGACAACAAATACAAACACAACAAGGGTTACTTTAAACTACAACACCAACACTTTACAACACTTTACCTAAAAAAACGGAAACATACAGTATGTTCTTTCCATGTTGTCCTCTATAAGCCAAATATCTACCAAATCCAGTACATACAATTAAATAGCACATTTCCTATTGTATGATGTACTTTACCTGTGTCTGGCTGTTGTTACCACCACCACCTCCTCCTCCTCCACCACCTGCTCCGCCTGCTCCTCCTCCTGCCCCTGCACCTCCTCCACTGCTCTGCTGGTGATGGGAGGCCATCTCTGCCATCCGTCTCTCCATCTGCTCCAGGCGCTCCAGGATGGACATTCTGAACTGGTTATCTGCAACATAGACACATAACACACACGTCAGCATCCATGGACTTACAGTATAATATATGGTCATCAGTGACACCCAGTTAGTACTGCACTGCCATATGGTACCTATAAAGGCATCTGTATAAATTGGAAGAACTTTGTAACACAGACACATACACACACGTCAGCACCATTTGGTCAACACATATCAGTGATCCCTGGTTAGTAGTACTAGTGTCATATGGTACAGAAAGTCTATAAGTAACCACATGGCATACAGTATGAGATTGTGTACTGTCTAACCACATTACATGTCTAACCACACAACATGTCCAGCCACACAACATGTCTAACCACACAACATGTCCAGCCACACAACATTTCTAACCACACAACACGTCTAACCACACAACATGTCTAACCACACAACATGTCCAGCCACACAACGTCTAACCACACAACATGTCCAGCCACACAACATGCCTAACCACACAACATGTCTAACCACACAACATGTCTAACCACACAACATGTCCAGCCACACAACATGTCTAACCACACAACATGTCCAGCCACACAACATGTCTAACCACACAACATGTCTAACCACACACACACACACACACACACACACACACACAGACACAGGGCCTTAGACACACTCTGAGGGGAGTCTGCAGATGAACCCTCACTCCGAACTAACTCTAGTATATTATGACCAAGGTTTCTCATTCCTGTGTGTTCTGCCCCACAACATTCCATTGGCCTATATGGTAGGATGGCTGAGAGCCACTGTACAAAATCAATCAACAAGCGCCTGTCCATAGTCCTTGAGAAAGCAGGCTTTTCATAGATCAAGACAGAGACTATTAGGCTGCCCAGTTTCTAAATGCTGCTGGCAAACAGGTTTCCAACCATCCGCAGTGTTAACCAACAGATCCACAAAATGTTGACTGGACAAAATGCTTCTGGAATTACTGTCCAAAACATAATCAATGCTGAGTAATTTACAAGTGCTGAATGTCATAAGAATGAATTGCACTCATACAGAAAACTGCATGCATACAATGTATTTTATGCTTGAAGCCACAAAAGTATAACCAAATGATGAGGACTAATTGGAGAAAAAAAAAGTTGTCAAATGGGTAGAGTAAGAAGCAAGACTGCACTCTGTGTTAGAGGTCCCTTTAAACACTCTCAAGAGCTTCAATCTGACTTGTAGTTAATCTATTACACCACATTATTTTTCACACTTTAGTAGATGCTCTTACCCAGAGCAACTTAGAGGAGCTATTGGGGTTAAGTGCCTTGCTCAAGGGCACTTCGGCAGATTTTTCAACTAGTCAGCTAGAGATTCGAACCAGCAACCTTTCAGTTACTGGCCAAACGCTCTTAACCACTAGGCTACCTGCCGCACTAGAGGAGAGAACTCTATGCTCAAACACGCACACACACACACACTCGCATACACCCACACAGACTGCTGTGCACAGACAGTGGGGTGTGATGCCCAGACAGTGAGCCCACTGCAGCAGGAGTGTGGAACACTGCATTAGCATTCCTCATTTAGCCACTGTGAGGCCGTTTCTGTGGCAACCTGCTGCCGGGTAACTAAGCGACAGGAACATGCCTGTGTGTGTATGGTTTTTTCCTTCCTGCGGCATTGACTTATTGATGAATGGGAGGGCAAGAAAATAACAGGGCAGAAAAGCACACAATGGAAAAAAATATGATATATATGTAATTCTCCATCACTATGTTATAATAATGTTCGTAGATATTTTCTTTTTCCAGAGGGGACACTGCAGTAATTAACTTCCTAAGCGGGGAGCCACCACAGCATGGACCCTGTGACATTTACACTACTGCCGTATCTTGGCAGTCAGTCGAAGGCAGAAGCACTCCACTCATCGGAGAATGAATGTCATGCTTGGGTTCCCTATAAGTCAATCTAAAAACAGGTCAAGTAATTGTTACTGTTACAAGAAAAAACATACAATCAATGGCCAGTAAATTACTGCTATTCCTGATGATGTGTGGTAGTTAGAAAATAGCAAACGGACGTTTATCCCACACACCATCCTTGTGTCTCTTCACAGCGCTCATCCTGTCACCAGCCATCGCAGACACTGTTAAATTACAAACCCCAACAGTGATACCTTTCATCACCTCTCCATAGGTGGCTAAGGGCAAGGTGATGATGAGGGCTGCAGAGGTGCGTCAGCCAGCCTATACCCTAGTGGTAGGAGAGGGAAGGAATGGGTGAGAGGGGGTTAGGTAGGTCACAGACCTGTAGCATGTCTAGGCACCAGGGTTATGCTCTCTGAGAGAGGGAGGACGAGAGAGGGAGAGAGGGGGAAAGAGAAACGGTGGCAGAGGCAGGAGGAGAGGACTTAGCGGCAGCACCAGGCTAGCTGACATGTCTTTGTTCAGACCCAGTGCTGCAGTGTGCTGCAGTGCAGATGATGTCATCGCCACCTGCTGCTCTGAATGTGTGCACGTATACTGCAGAGGGAGGGGGAGGAGGGGAGGGGGAGGGGGGAGGAGGGATGGAGGAGGGGAGGGGGAGGGGAGGGGAGGGGAGGGGAGGGGGATTGAGGAGGGATGGAGGAGGGGAGGGGGAGGGGGAGGAGGGATGGAGGAGGGGAGGGGGAGGGGAGGGGAGGGGAGGGGAGGGAGGGAGGAGGGATGGAGGAGGGGAGGGGGAGGGGAGGGGAGGGGAGGGGGATTGAGGAGGGGAGGGGAGGGGAGGGGAGGGAGGGAGGGAGGGAGGGAGGGAGGGAGGGAGGGAGGGAGGGAGGGAGGAAAGAGGGGAGTGTGCGGCCAGCGAAAACAGAACTACAACAACACTCTGACATCACCAACACCCTCCTCGTGCTTTGTCCCTCCCTCTCTTGACAGTGTGTAATAGCACACGTCTACACTGTCACTCTCACAGCTCGGCAGCAGAGCCACAGAGTTCTGACTGACAGGGAGCCTGGCACATTATATCAACAGTAACTCACTAATCACTTTTTGTGTGTTTGTGTGTTTGAGTGAATTATGGTTTTGTTTAAAAGACAAACTGAACTGCAGGAGGCAGCTCTTGTATTCTACATAACAATCTATGCCCTCCAGATCTTGTCCTTTACACCCCTGATAAGCCCTCTAGTCTAGAGTGAGTGAGGATCATGTGAACCATATAATAACACCACTACCTGAGCCCTCTAAGGTCAGTGAGGATCATGCATGCTAAGCATATGGAGAATGTGACAACACCTCTACCTATCCCAATCATCCTCTGCTCTACTGTGACTCTCATTAACAGCACTCAGGGACCATATGTGTTGGGGTCCCTGCTGACAGTGTAGTTGGTCTATAGGTCTCCTGAGTGTCACCCTGCAGCCCCCCCTGATCTGTCACAGCTCTGTGACATGTCAGCCATCTGCTCTCGCTCTTTGAGCTGCTGGGCTGAACTGAAGAACAGGCCAACAGGCCAACAGGCCAACATTCTACAGGCTCCTTCATCCTATACAGCCAGTGCAGACACTACATAGACACTACATAGATACTACATAGACACTACATAGACACTACATAACACCTTAATCAGTGAGATTGGAACAACAGTACAAATATAAACACTTCAGGTATAGTCTAAAGTCCAAAGCTTCAAGTAATGTGTGTGAGGACTTGAGCCACAGGTTTGGAGGATGCAGTGCAGTAGAGGACAGCTCTCTGTCCTAGCCGAGGGATATGAGGACAGGCCAGTATCTATTTCCCTGCAGATACACACTGCCCAGGCTGAGAGAGCGCAACACAGACACACTGTTTTATATGAATCTATTTTGAAGACATTAGGTAACTCTGTGATAGATTGGGCAAACAAGGTACAAGGAGCTTATCAAGCACTTACACTACATGACCAAAAATATGTGGACACCTGCTCGTCGAACATCTCATTCCAAAATGATGGGCATTTGTATGAAGTAGGTCCCCCTTTGCTACTATAAAAGCATCCACTCTTCTGGGAAGGCTTTCCACTAGATGTTGGAACATTGCAGCAGGGACTTGCTTCCATTCAGCCACAAGAGCATTAGTGAGGTCGGGCACTGATGTTAGGCGATTAGGCCTGGCTCGCAGTCAGCGTTTCAATTCATCCCAAAGGTGTTCAATGGGATTGAGGAATGGGGTTGAGGTCAGGGCTCTATGAAGGCCTAGCCCGAACCATGAAAAACAGCCCCATACCATTATTCCTCCTCCACCAAACTGTACAGTTGGCACTATGCATTGGGGCAGGTAGGACTGCCAGAGGGTGAAGCGTGATTCAACACTCCAGAGAACTTGTTTCCACTGCTCGAGTCCAATGGCGGCAAGCTTTACACCACTCCAGCCGACACCTGGCATTGCGCATGGTGATCTTAGGCTTGTGTGCGGCTGCTCGGCCATGGAAACCCATTTCATGAAGCTCCCGACGAGCAGTTCTTGTGCTGACGTTGCTTCTAGAGGCAGTTTGGAACTCGGTAGTGAGTGTTACAACCGAGGACTGATGATTTTTACGTGATTCAGCACTCTGCGGTCCCATTCTGTGAGCTTGTGTGGCATACCACTTCGCGGCTGACCCGTTGTTGCTCCTAGACGTTTCCACTTCACAATAACAGCACTTACAGTTGACCGGACCGGGGCCATTCTACTGCCAATGTTTGTCTATGGAGATTGCATGGCTGTGTGCTCGAATGTATATACCTGCCAGCAACGGGTGTGGCTGAAATAGCCGAATCCACTAATTTGAAGGGGTGTCCACATACTTTTGTATATATAGTGTATCTGCAGTTAATTAGCTCTCAATGTATGATGTAGTAGCATGGAGTGGAAGGCATGTGGAAGGCCACAGGAGACTAGTTATGCATCAATGATGAATATTCTGCCCCACTTATCCACAGTTTTACTACAAATGTATTTGCGACTGAACTTTCATTCCACCAGATTCTCCTCAGCCTCCCTACAGGCGTCACTATAAAGCCATGCTGTGTCTGGCCATTGATGTGGCTAGAATCTGCTAGAAGTCCAGGCAGTCTGCTGGGACCCCAGTGTTCTTAAGAGTGAAAGAGAATAGTCTGGTTACTAACAAATAACAACACTGAATCACAAAGAGCTAGACTCAGACCAGGACTGTTTCTTTAAGACAAATGGACTGCTGGGGCCCCCTGTGTTTACATTCTCTGTGTAGAGCTATGGGTTGACAGAGTGTGGGCTGACACCTTTAATCCTCCTCACAGTCACATACCAACCTGTGTGTCTGTTAATGCCAATCAACCCTGCTGGACCTCAGCATTATCTCTATGCTGCTACTGTAACAAACCCCCACATGTTCTGTATCAGTTAAATACTGTGGCTACATCAAACCCCCACATGTTCTGTATCAGTTAAATACTGTGGCTATATCAAACCCCCACATGTTCTGTATCAGTTAAATACTGTGGCTATATCAAACCCCCACATGTTCTGTATCAGTTAAATACTGTGGCTATATCAAACCCCCACATGTTCTGTATCAGTTAAATACTGTGGCTACATCAAACCCCCACATGTTCTGTATCAGTTAAATACTGTGGCTATATCAAACCCCCACATGTTCTGTATCAGTTAAATACTGTGGCTATATCAAACCCCCACATGTTCTGTATCAGTTAAATACTGTGGCTATATCAAACCCCCACATGTTCTGTATCAGTTAAATACTGTGGCTATATCAAACCCCCACATGTTCTGTATCAGTTAAATACTGTGGCTATATCAAACCCCCATATGTTCTGTACCAGTTAAATACTGTGGCTATATCAAACCCCCATATGTTCTGTATCAGTTAAATACTGTGGCTATATCAAACCCCCATATGTTCTGTATCAGTTAAATACTGTGGCTATATCAAACCCCCACATGTTCTGTATCAGTTAAATACTGTGGCTATATCAAACCCCCACATGTTCTGTACCAGTTAAATACTGTGGCTATATCAAACCCCCACATGTTCTGTATCAGTTAAATACTGTGGCTATATCAAACCCCCACATGTTCTGTATCAGTTAAATACTGTGGCTATATCAAACCCCCACATGTTCTGTATCAGTTAAATACTGTGGCTATATCAAACCCCCACATGTAGCCTAATTGAAAGGCTATGGCTATATCAAACCCCCACATATACTGATCTAAAAAGGCTGAGTTCCAACCCCAGCCAACCCCCACATGTAGGTAAGCAATAAGACTATTCCTACCTCTCTCTGAGTCTGTGATTGTGCAGTATATTCTCCTGATTGACAGAAGCTGGTATTTGTGCCTGTCTAAAGGAAGAGGTTGCTAGGCCATCTGGCACAGGCCCACACAGCTGGGACCCATGGGTACACTGATAATCAAAGGCCAAGTTGCCTTTCTTTGGCATAATGACCAGCTTTGTTGGCTCTGTCCATTGTGTGTTTTTTTCTTTAATAGTGTTGTCCTCTCCTTTCAGCTTGGAATGGGTTTACGTGCAGTGTTCTTTCTCCTGGACAGAGTATAGGATAATGATGAGAGGTTTGAAAAGACCAAGGATTAAGACCACAGAAATAAGATAAGGGAATCTCCTCTCAATTTTAAATTTCATCTCAATTCTCTTTGGGAGAGTGCATTTATTTCAAAATAAAACATTGACCCCACAATTGTGTCAGCTTAAACCCAACTAAGCAACACAAACAACAGCAAGGGTCAGCATGGGTCAAAACCAGAAGAACACCAGACATTTCCTACTGAGAACACTACATAGAATCCAATGTCATGTAGTGATTATAGGGGTCAATGAGAGTAGAAGTGCAGTCTATTGATGTGGCTTTATTATTGTAATTTCAATGTTGTTGGTCTAACCAACCTCGCTATATATTAACACTGGTTTGTAACACTGGGACCTTCATCGCAAATCAATTCTGCAGGAGCAAATCTATTTAGCATTGATTGCACTGTAATGGTTAACAAGTACAGTAGCCTATATATCAGCAGAAAACCTTATAAGATTGAGGCTTTTCACCTTCTGTTGCAACATATTAGTATTGACTAATGTAAAACAACACAACTTTAGTCAAAGCATTTCCTCTATCAGTGTATTATTCAGTTAGAAACCGACCATTCATGCAACAGGTTCTTCTATAGGATTTTACATACATAAAAATAGAGGAGCAAACAGCTCAACAGTCTAAATAAAAAAGGCCAGATGCTTTATAGTTCACACATAAGTCTCTCTGTCTACTCCTAATACGGAAGTCCTGTCTGGCAAGGTTGTAAATAAGCTAACCAGGTAGCACGTGTCTGACCTCATGGCATCAGTCCAGCTCCCAGGGAGAGGCAGGTCAATTTAAATTCAACATCAAGCCTGTGGAGGTACTCTATATTTCAGACTGCACTACAAGCCAGTGAAATGCCGCGAGAAGAGACAACACAAAGAGGAATTACTGCTTGTTACCTGCTATTACACAAAATGACAAATATCTACTTTACTAATTACTACACATAACCTATGATTATAGCAAATTATGTTGTGCACTGTAGAATGTGGCACATAAGAAGTCACACTAGACCTGTACATGTATATTCTTTGCTTAGCAATAGTTCTAATATGTAGGACATTTTCAATGAGATAAAGAACTGCTCAACAGACAACAAAAGTAATTCATTAACTTCCCATTTGCCTACATAACTGTGGTGTTTTGAATAATCAGATGGAGGCAGGATAGTAAATTATACAATAGTAGTGAGATCATTGCAGTGATATAGTCCATCAGCCTGTGGCCTAGACCAGGGTTTCCCAAACTCGGTGCTGGGGCCCCCTGGGTGCACATTTTGGTTTTTGCCCTAGCACTACAAAGCAGATTAAAATAATCAAAGCTTGAGTTGATTTGAATCAGCTGGGTAGTGCTGGCGAAAAAACAACAACATACAAGACAACAACATTTCTGGCTTTGATTTGAGATTTGAGTCTGCAGTTGAACCCTCACTCTTACTGATGAACTAACTAGTATTTAATGACCAAGGTTTCTCATTCCTGTGTGTTCTGCCCCACAACATTCCATTGGCTTATATGGTAGGAGGACTGAGAGCCACTGCACAAAATCAATCAACAAGCGCCTGTCCATAGTCCTTGAGAATGCAGGCTTTTCATAGATCAAGACAGAGACTATTAGGCTGCCCAGTTTCTAAATGCTGCTGGCAAACAGGTTTCCAACCATCCGCAATGTTAACCAACAGATCCACAAAATGTTGACTGGACAAAATGCTTCTGGAATTACTGTCCAAAACATAATCAATGCTGAGTAATTTACAAGTGCTGAATGTCATAAGAATGAATTGCACTCATACAGAAAACTGCATGCATACAATGTATTTTATACTTGAAGCCACAAAAGTAATACCAAATGATGATGACTATTTGGAGGAAAAACAACTAGTC